AACCTATATTAGTACTAACAATCTTATACTTAACTCATGTTGTGGAGACAATAATATCTTTAATCCTATAATTAGTACATGAAACTTCTAAAAGAAATCTAACATAAATCTCTATTTGAACCAAAACTAAATAAAATTAAGCCGTAGCCAACACAAGATAAAATAAAAATATATAGAGGTAGCAAAAACTTACTAGTAAATTTTCCTCATGCAAAATCTGCAACATATCACAATGCAATATAAGAGTTTTCAAATGAATAATTTTGATTAACATATCAAGTAGATTGAATACAAATTTAATCTTGATTAGCTTAATACTTTCATTAGAAATTGAATTTAAAATAAACTGACATCTCATTTCAATATTTTTCATTATCAATCACTTGATTTGTAACAAGATATTATTCAGTTAACTATCACAATGACTATTGACAGACTTTTGTTTTAATTCTATTTCAGTGATAAGAATATTCAACCAAATAATTGCTATGTATTTAGCTTTCATTATGGACAAATGTAGTCATTCTTGAAAAGAATATTTTTGATTAATTCATCCAATATCAAGTGTAAACACAAACGTAGTTGTGAAATATTTTTTGTTTAGATCTTATACATTATCAACCTTGACATAATGTATCAAAGATTTGACATTGTCTAATAAATTATCAAACAACATATCATTGTACTTAATAATCTTTAAACTTTAGCACTCTTTAGCTACTTGAGTGTTCATGTCACTGTTTTTCAATGCATTGCTTTGACATATATTTGCTCATCTTGCTCATAGTTGAAACAATATCAAGTTTTAAACATATCATCAAATACATGAAATTGCTCACAATTGTCATATGAGATTGATAATATCTTTTTCTTTTCAATGACATTGATTGGATATTGAATAGCAAAAAATTAAAATTGTTGTGTCAAAAAAATTCAAACTTCAACACGTGAAACTTGTCAAGCACGCAATGTATTTTTCTTGATTCAATCATAAATTTTTGTTTTTTTAAAATCATATGAACATCTATTTTACTTTGTTCTTGAATGTGTTAAAGTTGAATTGATTCTTGTCAAGATGAACAAGTCATCAATATAAAATATTAGAATTACGAGATTACATATCTCATTATTCCCATTACTGATGTATACACATGAATCGTATTAAGTACGTGAAAAATGCTTAGCTTTCATGAACTCATCACATCTAACATTTTATTGTCTTTAATTTTACTTCAATTCATATAATGATTTCAATTATTTATAGACCAACATCTTTTGATTTTTTTTTTCAAAATTAAGTTAATGTCTCATGTAAATTTTCTCTTTCAATAATTCATAAAATCACATTATAATTACATCTATTTATTTCATAAGGAGATTGAATATTACAACAAGTGCATATAGCAATTAAATTTTTAGCATATATTGTTGCATGTGATAAAATTTTGTTATAAATCATATCTTTTTTGTGTGATATTATAACACTAGGGATTAAAAAAAAATTCACTAGAAAATGAAACAAAATTATAAAGATAGAATAGTTATACTTTACCTTATATAAATCTTATCAACAAGTTCAAAGAGTTAAGATATCACCTCTAGCATCCATTTCACTCTTAGTGACTTGATGACATGATAGATAACTCTAAGAAACACATGGATTGTTGAACTCTACCTCTAATCTAACAAAAATCTTATCTAACAATTACACATATTATTTATATGTTGTTGTGAACTAACAAATTTATTCTTTACCTATGAAGTACACTAATCGGTAACGTGTTGCTATGAATTGAACTTGATCTCTATTTGCAAACGTGTCGCTATGAACTAACAATCTTGATCTTTGCCTATCAAACACATTGATTGTTGACGTGTCGCTATAAACTAAAAAACTTACTCTCTACCTATCAAACACATTCATCTCTAATTTGATGATTATTAATAATTCACTATAATGTAACTATATCTTCATCTTGAGTATACTTTATTTTAATTCTAAACAACCAAAGATGGTTACAAACATCTCTAACCATCATTTGATTTTGAATATACTTCTCATGTTATTTGTTAGATTGTATTTCAACTACTATGCTCATTTGCTTTAGATCAAAGTTTGATGCATTTAAACTTCCACTAGCTTCCAGATCTTGTTATTGTCAACAATTGCATTTCATGTTTTATATAAGTATTTCACTCAAGTTTATTAACATATGGTATTTTTTTAGTAATTAAGTTTAAATTTGGATCTACTCTTAGATTAAAATTGATTGTCATTCTTATCATTCAGTGAATATGATCAACCTTAAAACACATTCAGAGATGAAAAAGATGACATCATCATTTTTTAGTTGTAAATCATCAATCAATTAAACATTTATAACTTTGTGATAATGATTGTACTGCGGAAATGGATTTCACAATAAAACACCACATGTACAATTCATGAATAGAAATGAGAAAATAAATTCAAGAGATATAGAGCTTTTTTTTATCACCAATCTTCAATTCAAGATTTTAAAAGATCAATAATAAGATCATTGAATGCATCAATGTGATTTTGAATCTTCATGTCATATTTTTTCATCATGAAATACATCAAGTTCAAAAAACATACAACTTATCTGATGAATTATATTTCAAGAAACTCAAATAATAAATTTTCATTTTCATCTATTTCTTTTGGAATAAAGATTTTAAATGCAGGATGACAATACTCACAATTTTTTTTTGAATATCTTTTCACTTATTGTTGTTGTAAGTGGACGGTTTTGACCTCAATTTCTTGTTTAAATCCATAAATTTGCAAGTTGTATTGATTTTTTTCTTTGATAAAAGATTGATCATATTTGATTATTTTATATTTCCTAGATTTCATGATCATTATGTGATTTTGCCAAACCTTTGAAGTTGTATCTTGTGTTATTTAAGAACATTAGTATAACTTTCCAGCACTAAATATGTAACTCTTTGTACTTCTTGATTTACTCAAGCATGTGTTGTCAATTGTCTACGTGTCTTGATTCCCTCATTTCTCTTTCAAAAGAAGATGAAATAGCTGATTTGACAAAAGATCAAATATAGATTAGCACCATTAAAATTTACAAGTTGCACAATCTCCAAACTTTGTATAAGTTCATTTTTGTCAAACAAATATTGAATTAGATGCAAATGAAACTTATGCTCTTAGACAATTATCAATATAACAAATTAATTGAAGGAGTGATTATTGTAATGCATGTTCAATCTCAATCTCATTCTTGATAAACGAAGATGAATCATGATTAGAATTTTGAGACACGTTGAAAGATGAAAATGCTTTCTATGTCTTGTATTTGTTACAATACATGTTTCAATAAGCTTTTTTTTAATACTTGAAAGATTTAAAAAGCTTTTGTTATCTATTTTCTCAAAGAAAGTATTGTAACTTGCGTCATGTTCAGATGAATCTATGCAAGGTAAACTTTGCAAATAGAACGCAAAGTTTTTCAAACAGTCAGATTTTCTTACTCCCATCAATTCATCTTTCTCTAAGGGCTTAATTGCATGGCTCTTAGACCATGTCCAACTTTTTAACGATCAACATAATTCCACTTTGGTATGGTAGCAAGACTCGGAGCAGTTGCAGCTTGAGCATCTTACATCTTCCCTGAATGATAATATTTTTTGACGATGAAATGAGACAACAATTTTTTTCTAAAGCTCAGAAATGTAGGCAAATTGGAACTGAATGACTTCCATTACAAATATTGGATTTTCATAGTTTTCATTCTTTGAGTATTGTGACTACTCAAAGAATTAATGAAAATAGGTATATATGTTTGTTCAGATTATTTGTTTGAGAAGAATGTACACTTGAAATTCTTCAAACATGAGATCTAAAAGCTCATTTTTTGACTTGTGACCAAAAACACCTTGTCAAAAGTCAAGAAATGAGCTTTTAGATGGTTATGTTTCAAGAATTAGGTGGTGTCAAAAACATTAGCTTCATGTCTAGATTGAATTATGTATGCTTTTAAGAATAGTAAGTTACAGCTTTGTACCGTATATATTGACTTGGTGCTGAGATTCTGGTCATTGCCGGTGGCTTGTGGTTTATTCAAAGTTTCGAAGAGGGATTCATGTCCTCATGATTATCATCTCTTCGATTTAGACGATATTCTGAATTATGTTTTCAATGAGGATATTATGTTCCTCTTTTAGAACTACTTGAAAGCTGCATAGTAGCTTTGGTTTTTCTTATCTTATGCCGCTGGCGAGTTGAAAAAAAGTTTTCGCTAATAACTGTAAACTACTTTTTTATTCGCCAGTAGCATAAGATAAAATGGAGCTTAAAAATGAATTCTATGATCAGTAGAAATACACTTACTTGTAAAATCTAGAGCTACGCAATATACCATTAGTCTAGGAAATCATCCTAAAGAGCAAAATATTTCCGAGGGGGAAAAGTTTACATATGACACGTAGGAAATCATACATCCTATTACGCTACCAGCAAATTTGGCAGAAGCTTTTCCGAGAGAAAAAGTATACAAACGAAACATACTCTTCCCCAATGAAGAGAAATGATTGAGGGGCCACATCCGCCTTTTTAGAAACGAATACAATTCGCGACTTCGACCAACGAGCAGTCCGCGGTGGACTGTCAGCCTCAGAAACAACTTATAATAGCCGTAGATGCAATCCTGGGGCTGAGTTTCTTCCTGAGTTATCTACGAGGAAACAACAGAATCCACCGGATACATATCTGACAACCACGTTGGCCAGTACACCACAAGGTTCAGCGACACACTGTTCCGTGTGATGATTATGAGGCTCCTCGAAGAAGGGCCATGTCCTAATGGCCCTACTTCGGGCCAACTCAGGGTTTCGCCCGTCGGGGAGAAACCTGGTTGGTAGACCCCAGGGCTTAACTTTTACTCGACAGAATTCTCCCCTTCGGAAACTGCAGTAAAGTGTCCTCCAACATGGCGATTGATCACCACAGAGCCAGTGGACCCGGAGTTTCACCACGGGTTCCCCACCGGTTCCCCACCACGGGGAACCGCTGGCGACGCCAGTGCTGCTCTGCTGCTAGACCCGACGGTCCTCGTGGTTGAGTGTTTGGGGCAATTATTTGGACCAACATCGTCCAATTGTAGTCAATGAACCATCGCCATTGTAGTCCGCAGGATTAAAAGGCTTCCAATTCGGCGATTGATTTCAAAGCTGGGTGTAGCGGAGTTTCGCCAGTGGGCGCGGGGCAGGGGTCGCCTCTTTAGAGACATAGAGATAGAGAGAGAGAAAAAGCGTACGAAGAAAAGCAAGGAGCGGAGCGCACTGCAGACTGGAGGAGCATCCGAGTGTCTGTCTGTGCGCGTCCATGTGGTTCTGAGGAGCTGCGCTTTCTGTGAGGAGGAGAGTATTGGAGGATTGGAGTCTCGGACCAAATGAAAGCATGAAAGGCATGGAAAGAGTTCTGATTTCGGCCGATTAATGTGGCGAAATTCTACGTGAGGAAGTTGATGCATGATTCTCGTACAGTGTTGGAATTGCCAGATCCTTTCAATTTGTTGAAGTCTTTATTCTGCACGAGTGAATGTGGAGTGGAGCGAGATGAGATTTGGAGGTGGAATGAGCTCGAAGTTTTTTAGGAGGGGGCTTCTGGAGGTGGAATGACCCGTTGCCTCTGCATAGTAGGAGCGATTGTGGTTTGGCTTCCGAGGCGTGTGTTCAATGGCTCCTGCAAGAAAGAAAGTGATCATCGACACGGATCCTGGCATTGGTGGGCAGCCTCAGTGTTTCTTCAGCTGATTTATTGATATATAGTTGTTTTCTTCCTGGGAGCTAGCTTTTCGTCGTTTTCTAGTCGTCAGAGGAGCAGAAAAGCGCGTGGATGGTGCTTGCATGACTGATCATGTGTCACATGAGAGAGATGCCACCTTTTTATTGTAGAGTGTTTTTTCAATGGAAGCAGTAGGAGTATGTGTGTATAGAGGTAGGCCTCATTGAATTCAATAGTGTTGAGAAGAATTTTTAACAAACTTTGTCTTGCATCTGCTTGTAGTGTGTACCTCTCTTTTTGGGAAATTATATGTCAGTTAAGCAGCTAAAGCTGGTTCGAATTTCTCTCATGGTCTTTCCACTGAGTTTCAATTTGTGCTTCTTGCTTCTTCAACCTATTAGTACTATTTTAGCTATCAGCTTAGTTCTATCCGAGAAATAAAAAAATTCTTTTTCTATCACACGAACTGTCTGAAAGAATTAAGGTAGATCAGTTAAAGAATGTCAAAGAATGTCATCGCCCTCTATAATTGAATGAGCCTGGTGAAGGCTCGAGTGTATGTGATCAAATTAACGCTGCCTGTTTCTACACGCGTCCCCAGCATGCGCTCTCTGTCCGTGACGACAAATTCCCTTTTTCAGCTACAATACAACGTAAGACCCAGTCCCTTTATCGGCATAACTTAAATATGAAGACTGTATGAACATCGATCGCACTTCACCTCCCTTGTCCATGAATTCTGTAACATGTTTTTGGAGGTAACTTGCTTAATATTCTGATTTCACCAAACAATTTAAAGCGCAAATGCAATTTTTATGATTTTTAGCAATCAACGGCATATGGAAGCCAGTACGCAATTGATCACTAGTCAGCGACGGTTCGAAGCTTTTGATCAACAGGCTTGTTAAACTGGTCAGCTCTGTGTCGAATACCGTGAGCTTCGCCACGACACTCTGCTGTTTCCGTACACCGCCATATCTACCAAAGAAGGCGACGACGTAGTTCTGAGGTTTCTGTTGAAAGGGCTGCTTTGTCTTTAGTTGAAAAATAAACCTCTCTTGGTCATTCGGGTTGTGAACTTATCTGGAAAGAAATATGCTCAGTGACAATCACTAGCCGAGGAAACCTTGCAGTCTTACTGATATTGATCTGGCAATATTCTCGTTCTGTATTACACAATACAATCCCATCTACCTCATATAAATCTGTACTCCTGTGCTCCTGATGCTTCCTCCTCTCGTCCCTCCGTCTTCTCCTTATTGTTCATGTGCACTGTCGAACCAGAGTGAGGAGTCTTTAGGTTAAGAGAGACACTTTGCAAAGTGCAAAGCTTACTAACGATGCTACCTCTTTCTTTTGAAATGCTATCACAGACGATGCGATGGCAATACTCATGGCTTTTAATTCCCCCGAATTGGAGATAATTGGAATGACCACTATATTTGGCAATGTTTCAACTCCACTAGCAACCACCAACGCTTTGTACCTGGTGAGGTCACTCGCTGCATATCTTCATAGTCTAAGTACTAGCTACAATATCAAATTCTGTAAGAAGCCTCATCACCTTAGCTGCTGAAATCGTGAGCAAGTGCCTCATACACAATGCCATGTCACACCCTCACCTTTCAGTGTAATGTATTGGCAGTGTGAATTGGGTGGCTTGCACATACCAGTTGCAGAGGGCAGTTCGGAGCCGTTGAAGGTAAAAGAGTAAATTTGACCAATATTTTAATTCTTTTACTCTCATCTGTCTATGATCTTGTACAAATTAGTCAGTAACTGTGGTTTATGACCTTCGTACGATGTTTTAGGCAGTGACAAATGTTTCAGCCTTGCACAGATGCTCCCTAGAGCGAACTTGTGCATTTTCAAGTTGGAAAAAACCAAGGCAAAGACGTATTGTTTAATGGGTATGTTTGCGTATGGCACCGCATTAGTTTCTTACTGATGGTGAACTTTCTGTTTCTGTCATGAGCTTAGTACTGAATTTGAGTTTATCGATCTGAAGATGTTGGCTTCTTTTAATGCAGGGTGGGGTTCCTCGAATCGCTGATTTTGTTCATGGAGCTGATGGTTTTGGTAATATTAACGTGGTCTCCACGGTTAAGAAATCCAGCCAGAAAAGTGAACAAGCAGCGTGTGATTTTTTAATTCAGAAGGTAGCTGACAATCCTGGTGAAATCACCATAGTGGCCCTTGGACCACTCACCAACGTTGCACTGGTGAGGCCATTTATCTCTAAGCTCATGAAAAGAACTCTAAAAGGACGTGCCGTAGATGACCGTTTACTATCAATAGTTTTCTACTTTCTTTTGTTGACGTCGCTAGGGAGTACAAATTTCCCGTGTACTACCTGACGGAACGCAGCTCATTCCCAAACATGAGACTGAAACCTTTTTGTAACACCGCTCTGCTCGTGGAGCCCAAGTTGTATACGTGTTCACTAGCCTTGATCCAGAGTCAACTGGAGCCTCTCCTTACGAGTCCTTGATACTGGGGCGGTTTCAACCGTCGGATATATGAGCTGGTAGAGGGATTTCTGGTTGATTTCTGAAAATACGAAAGTAGTCTCATTTCTGGGTAAAAATTCCACTACAAGGATGACCTTCATTCTCAAGTAGTCCTCTCCTTTACCACCATCCCATCTCCAAGAACCAGTTCTCTGCATGTTAGCACCTCTCATTTGGTCCGCCGGCTATTCTGGCACACAACAAGGATTGCAATTCTTTCTTGAATGTTTGAGATAGACTTTGTCAAATAATTTGTGTTGTTAGTGCTTACGCTACGGTTTGAAGTACGTTAGTTTTCTGAGTCAGTGGGTGCCTTTCATCAGGCCATACAAAAGGATCCTTCTTTCGGGAGTAACATCGACGAGCTTATTGTGCTCGGCGGAGCATTTTTCGCCTCGGGAAACGTAACCCCGGCTGCTGAAGCTAATGTGAGCATTTAGTGTCTCGGAACCTTGTCCACTAAAAACTTGTAGAGATACCACTTCATCATGTAGGACTTTTCTTTGGATACCAAATAAATGGACGTAAGCTATGACGTGGATATTTGTGTGTGCTACGGATCTTGCTCTCTACCCATATGTATTTTGCATGGCTTTCAAATAATAAGGTGCTAGTGTTTCAAAACAATCTACTCTTTAATCCTTTGAAGATACTGCAGATCTTCGGTGATCCTGAGGCAGCAGATCTAGTTTTTACAGCTGGAATCAATACTCAAGTGATAGGCATTAATTTGACTACACAGGTCATTTTGAATGGTGAGTTCGCCCTCTATTTGAATAAAGAGAGATGGCTTTCAGATGTAAAGTACAATTTCTTACCCATAGATGGCACCGCTACTTTTCTTATGTGCGGTACAAGAGTCATTTGATCTTGGTGGCATATTTGATGTAGACTATTATTACTTCTTTTGCAGAGGAAGATTTGCTAGAGATCAAGAATTCGAATTCGAAACACGGAGATTACCTCTATGACATGACTCGCTTTTACAGATCTTGGCATCTCTCATCAGACGGTTTAGACGGTAAGGGATCGTATGACTAGCCTTTCTGAAATGTCAAGGTGGTGGTGTCTCAAGTTGAATAATTATTCTAGGATCAGTAAAAACCAACTGGTCCCTGTTAGCAGTCCTTGGAGATAGACTTAATATCTGTTTGGACACATGCTAGTAAGATATTATCAAACTCGTATACACTTTGTGAGGCTACTTAAAAGTATCAGGCATTTTTTGTTGTGTTTTAAGCAACAGGATTTCCATATTTGTGCATACTGTGTAATCCAGTATTAAGGTCAATTATTTCAGATGTAAGATTCTTCATCATCTTTCTTTCCATCACACCTGTAACTGTCCGTCAGCACTGATCGCGGGCATTTTGTACGTTTGCAGGTATTTTTCTGCATGATCCAACATGCATGGCAGCTGTTTTGAACTCATCCCTTTTCACTTATCGCACTGGAGTTGTTAGAGTGGAGACACAAGGGCTTTGCACTGGCCTCACAGTGTTAGACATGGGTCTCAAGGAGTAAGTTATTTTTCTTGCTATGAGAATAACTAACCACGGTGTGCTATTGTCGTCATGAAAGAATGTGGAAGTCTATGAGTTGATTATCGGTTTGTTCTTACAATGGCACATTGCAAGTCTATCGTGCTTAGCATCACAACTTCGACATAGTTCTCAAGAGTGACGCTCTGATGGACGTCTGCTAAAGATGGTCCTCGTCATCCTGTTTGTAACTGTATCTGATCGAAGCTAATTGATTTATATATGTTTATTTATCAAATTTATTTATTTAGTTATGTTTACGATTCATGTTTGTGTTTCAGGTGGGTTGGTGATAATCCTTGGGTCAGGAAACCTGCAATCAAGGTAGGCTGGACTGTGAATACGACAGAGGTCAAGAAACTCGTCAAGGACTTACTGATGAGACCTTAAGAAGTTACAACTCCTTTGTCCCACTTGAAGTTCTAGTTGTTCTTTTTTCTTAAATGTTTATTCTTAAAATCTCCGGAGAGTTTGCCAAGAAATTGGGAATACTTCGCAGCAGCATATGATTTGTATTTGTGCAACTCTTTTAGTCATGTCTGTATACTCTCTGGGGTGTAGTCATAAAAATATTGTCGAGTTTCCCTCCACCGATGAGGTGCCATGTGCATTGCATCATCTTCCCTTTGAAAGCTCAAACAGAGCAAATCTGTGAAGGAGCTTTCTCTACTTTTGAAGAAATTGCTTTCAGACTGCAACTGGTCACCAGAGCCAAATGGTACTTACGCCAAATTTTGTATCTACCTTTTGTGTACAAGATAATGGTCTTGAGAGTGCAAAGAAAGCGGATTCAGGTGTCCCAATAATCCACATAAGGTGGGTGCGAGATATATACCTCCCTTATTCTGTTCGATCTTAAGTGACTAATGGAAGACGAGATCAGAGAGAGAAACAAGAGGAGCTGGTCTCGAATGTTGCCTACTTATCAGTATTCTACTTCCATCTTTATCTCCTTACGAAGCAATAGGTTCATATCCTATTGGCACCATAGAATCTGAGCCATTTTTTCACAATCTATGAGGTGCTTATTCTAGAGATCTGTGGCGCATAGATTTCACCTACGGGTTTTACGGCATATAATATCATATCATGCCATTTATTCACTCTATTTTCTTGAAATTTGATATGCTTTATTTTGAAACATTGTCTTCAGATTTGTGAGAAACAAATTATGGGATGAATTGATGAAGTCGCCCTTGGTGCCACACCCTCCTATCAAAGAACATGTGATACAATGACCAGTGTCGATCAGCTGATCAACCAAAATACATGTTATTGTCGTTGACTTGACCTTTGTAGTGATGTTGAATATTGGTAAGTCATTTTAACCCTAAGAGAACGTAGGGATTGGGCTCTGACAGTTTTTCAGAGGGTATGAGCCTTCTCACGTCGTGGGACATGTTGCATTTGGTTTTGCACCAAAGCTGATGATTTGCAACCATAACCAATTCCTACCCCAAAGCTTCTGCCGATCCCGCGACAATGATTTCACCATCCTTCCATGAAGTCGGCGTCCAACAAAAATTATTTCCTGACAAACCAGAATTGTGATTGATGGATTCAATTTGTTAAGATAGTACGATTGGGGAAGAAAGACGATGATTCCCAAACACCGCGACATAGTAAGATAGGTTGTTTGAACGTAGGAATACGAAGGCCGAAGTAGAGAAGAGGGTTGGGGTTAAAGCAGACCTCATTAAAAGTGGCATTTTAGTAAAAAGTGACACCTTTGCCACAATTAAAATTGGGCCGATGCCACAATTAAGCTTTTTTTCAGCGACTCTTTGGTTGCAATTGAACTTTATGGCGTATATTTTCAAGAGTTTGCAAGCACCGCCTAAAGTTCGCGAAGTGTTCTCCTGTCAACTGATGAATGTTATTATCCCAAGCAAGCAATAGACCGCATTGCAGTCAGTAAGTGATTGGAAAGAGAATCCTTGTATTTGTGTTTTGAGCCGATTGTGGACAGAAATCAAAATAATGCATGATCATTTGATGGATATAATTTTTGAAAGAAGAGATACACCTTGAAAGTTTTCTAAAACTCTCATGTAAAAATATTCTGGTCTGAAACCAAGTTTTTTTCCATTCAAAGACAGATGATATTATTCATCTTCAATTGAGGTTTGTAGAAGGAATAAAATTCATGTCTCGTGGATTTTGGAATTTGGCACTATTCAGTTGAAGTCTAATATCCTCATGGTTAGTATCAAGAATCTTTCACTCATTTCTTCTCACAATACTAGCTCTTTGTGCTTTGAGTATACTCACAGTGAATAATCATGCGACCTGTTCATGGACTAGTCTAAATTCTTGTTAGATTTCGATGGCTATACTTGTCCCTTGGACATAACATGAGGGCGGAACTTAAGTTGACCACAACGTAGAAACAACCCTGCTTGCATTTCTTGTGAAATAATCTCAATCTCTTATGGTTTCAAGATTGCCACAAAAGTTTTTCAATTCTAATGCCACAAATGCCACTTTGAAGAACTTTTGGGAGCCACAATTAACGAAAAGGTGGCAAAAGTGGCAAATGCCACTTTTAATGAGGTCTGGGTTAAAGGCCAACTCTTTGATATTGCTAATCGCATCTCTTTGGCAAAATACTTGCGTCTATTATTTACAAGTAATGAGACGGAAGGGTAAACCAGTGATCATACACAAACCTGTAGATCAGTGAGTAGTCGCTAATTTACCGAGGTTTAGGGGCAAAAAGTTAGCAATAAGTACCTGACTATTAAACGCATTCTTCGTTCTTCATTCTGCATGCAATATAGTCATTTGATGTTTTCCCAAGCAAGTTCCGTACCTGAAAATAGATCTTTGAAGGTTAGTCTAACGTAGAGTCCAGAATAGCTTGTGCTAAGAAAGAAATAGATCTATGAAGGTTAGTCTAACGTAGAGTTCAGAAAAGCTTGTGTTAAGAAAGAAGTAGACATAAACGTACCCTTGTTATGCTACACAACATCAGGTTTATCTGTCTAAACTCTACCTTCAAATCATCTTATGTTATTCATATCCATTGATTGTTCTTTAAGCAATGGATCTACATCATCATAAATGAAATACTTGTCTTTATTCTATATGGAAATCAATGACATCTACAATTCTAAAATCTACTACAAATCTAGGTTAAAAGCAATGTCATTTCTGATAATGTAAAGTTTACAATTTATGTGTAATAATTATTTTACCTGTTAAAACCAAAAAAAATTACTATTATTTTAGCTGGTTAGAATCAAAATAGAGTTTTATTAAAATAAAAATAAAATATATTCACAGCAAAAAATTTCAAATTTTCAATTCAACAATACATAGATTGATAGTTTTTGATAGATTAGAACTACATGGATTAGTCATGAAGCTATAGTTCAACGAAGAGTCAATTTGATAAATAGTGATTTCATGTATAAGTTGAAATCGACACATGACTCGTTGTTTACATATTACTTGAATATGATATGTCAACAATGAATCGTTTTGACAAAAAATGATTATATGGATTAGTTGAAAGCAATATGTACTCAATGAGTCAATTTGATAAATAATGATTACATATATTAGTTGAAAGTGTTACGTTAGATATTAGTGTGATTAATAAGTAACTATTACATATATTAATTAGAGCCACATTTTAGTAATCAGTATGTTTGATGTATAAATATTACATGTATTGATATGTTTGATATATGGAAACATTACATGTATCAGTTAAGGCTGTATTAGCGATCAATGTATTTGATAGACAAAAATTTCATATATGACTTGAAGATGACACGAAAACAATTTGTGTGTTTGATTGATAAAGATTAAATTTGTTTATTGAGAGCAACAATATTTTGTGTTTGTTACATAAAGATTGGATTTATGAATTGAAATGATATGTCAATAATCTGTGTGCTTAGTGAATATATATGTCATGCCATCAATACATTCAAATGAATGAAAGATGTTACATATTATTTTTATACAATTTTAAAATCTATATATAAATGAAATTAAAATAATTAGTTATTTTTTGTCTTCAGAATTTTTTTATCATCTTCAAATAAACTTCTTTTTTATTATTCGCTCTTGCAATATCATAGTATCATAGTGAAAAAATGGCTTTTAACATGATATATGATAATCAAATTGACAAATCTTGATATGATTGTACATATTCATTGTGCATTGTAATTACTTTACTCATAAACTAATGTTTTTAATTTCATACTCAAATCTGTTTATTGCATATATATGAAATAAAACATTATGTGTTATAGATGAATTTTAGGAATGTTAGAAAAAAATTTGAATTCATAGCTTGCACATAAAATGATCAAAAGATTTGAAAATTGAAGGTTTTTCAAAATTATCATGATAAGATCTAACTTTACAAGTTTTGTATATCACTAATAATTGTACATATATATTTATTCATATATATATTTACATTTTTTTTGCAAATAAAATAAAATCTTAGAGAAATTTTCTTTCAGATGTAGGTAACAGATGACCTCACAATGTATTAAAACTAGTCATGTATGTATAATCTAATCTCCTATCTTTCTTATCATGTATGTTAATAAGATGGATAAAAATATATATTTCTACATGCATAAATCAAGATACACAATCCTAAGAGAATGTTCAGACGTAAGAATTATTAAAATCATCAAGAAAATTGAAACTTAAAATTCTTCTTGAATTAACGCTTAACACTAGATCTTGACTCATCATTGAAATGGTTTTCATTTTACATAAATAAAAATACAATTTGTGTAATTTTATCTCATTTCTTTAATTATTAATGATATATTTTTGTTTTTCGTAAATCAATATTTATCCTCTTAATACGCAAATTAACATTTAGATTTGCAACAAAGAAAGAGCTGGAGATGTTTGGCTTTATGATTAAAGTAGTGAATGACAAGAAAAATAAAGAAAATATTTTATTATAATGATGTCGTTTCTAGTTTAAGTTAGATGATAGACACATTGACTTTTTATGCATAGCTTGGCAATATTATGCAATTTTTTGGTGCAGAAGCAAAGACTTGATTTTTTTGGTCAAATTTGATCATAAAATATGGTATCTCGTTTATCTTCTTCAACTTTACAAATCTTCAGAACAAGACTAAGCTATGTAATTTCCTTAGCAAATTGATCCTGATCACCTTTCAGGTCATTATTGATAATTATCTTCATCAAATGTGTGACGTGAAGAAAAAGCTAGTCAATCCAAGAGTGATGCAAAGTTATATGGTTAGTTGATGTAAAATGAGCCTATAAACAGATCCAGTTATTTTCCCGAAGCACTAAGGTGAATCTCTTAAAACTTCATTGGAGTATTTTCCAATACTTGAGATAAAGCGATAGTTGGGGTTTGACATATGAAACCGTAAATTGAAAATGAAAATCTATTGTGATCTGAATAATTCGGAAAATCAAATTAATGAAACACACAGTATTTTATTTGTTATTTGTTGTTTAAAAAACAAGTTTGTATAAAACATAAAATATATTGAGCTATAAGGATGGCGATTCATCCATCTCAACTCCCTCCATGAAAATCTATGCTTTGCGAGACACATGATACTGAAATAAAATTATAAAAAAATACAATATTTTGTAAAGCATCTGTGATGAGCAAGAAATCACAAGAATCACAAGAGAGTTTTCGATGAATATTGAATCTCTTAGCCCCTAACTTTTCGCATGGGATCCGACCAGACTATCCCAAAGACCACTTACAATATACTGTGACTACAGTACAAGTTGTGGAGGCAGTACACAACAACAACGAAAGGTGAGGCGGAAGGTCACTCTGTAGTATGCGGACTATGACGAAGTGCCCTAAGGACGTACTTGTACATTCAGGTCTGCTGCTGCCGACACCGTGGGGTTGAAGCAAAACCCTGTGCTTCTCGCAGCTACCGATCAAACGACGATTTTCTGCTTCAACTTCCTGATCACATTGATTGTCAGGTGGATTTCGGAGGTTACAATTTACTCGTTGGCTGGTATATTTGTGCATCTTGGAGCCCCACGGAAGAAACGTTCAGTCAGGAAGGATTTGAAGATACTCTGAAAGGGAAGGCGCGGAGGAAATATGCGTCCATTAGACGAGGACGAAACGACACAAGTTCTGGAGAAGCTGCATAAGTTTGTTGGCTCTAATCTGAAGCATTTGATCGAGCGGCAGGCGACAGAGGGCTTAGATTCAAAACCAGGTGGCTACTGCTTTCGCCTGCATAAGCAGAGAGTTTACTATGTAAGTGAATCACTTGTTCGTCGAGCCACGAATATTTCTAGAGAAAAACTATGCGCACTAGGGACTTGCATAGGTAAGTTCACGAAGTCTTCAAAGTTCAAGCTCGTGGTGACTTGTCTCGACCTTCTTGCCGCCCATGCCAAGTATAAGATATGGGTAAAGCCCTCAGCAGAAATGTCTTTTCTTTACGGTAATCATGTATTGAAGAGTGGCCTTGCAAGAATTACAGACAACACCCCTCAATATCAAGGTGTGGTAGTCTACTCCATGTCGGACATTCCTCTAGGATTTGGTTTGGCTGCTAAGTCTACTCAAGACTGCAGAAAGTTGGACCCAACAGACATAGTCACTTTGCATCAGTCAGATATAGGTGAGTACTTGCGAATGGAGGATGAGCTGTAGATTGGGCGGAACTTATTTGTAATTTTAATTTCCGTGTTGATACTTGTTACTCAAATGAATCGAGTGAAGGGTGGTTTTGTGCTGTCAAGCCAAACCCTGAAATTTTGACCGTGAATGTCACGTATGTGCACGTTACATTTGGATTTTTCTGGGAGTTGTTCAAGTCTATCGAGTTGAATTCTGCACCGCGAAGTAGTTTCTAACTTCACGGCGCGAATCACATCTTCAAGTATGGGACGATACGGATTTGCTTCTACATAGATCGAATATCAATATCAGTTGTATGTTCCTGATATCCCCTTAGGGTCTAGCGAGTCAATTTTGTGGATATTGTCTGTTCCGTTTCTGCTTTCGATGTAAGATCGTTTACGTAAATTCTCAGTTTTAACTGAACGAGCACATAACTGTCTGCATTACATGGTTCGTCTGAGTCAGTTGTTTTTTTCGTCAAAATAAGTCTCCATTGTTTAGCATTCTCACCTGCTCACTGATCGCATTGATTGATGTGTTTGTCAATTGCTTTTTGTGATATCCTCACAAACACGAGCCTTGCCTCGTGCCTCTGGGATTGTAGTCAGAGCTTGGCTGTTCTAGGAGCATTCTTTGCTTGTGCGGCGACATCGATGTTCAATGACAGTCGTTCTCCTTGATCTTCTGAAGCGAATGTTATGGGTGATTACGTGTCCGTCCTCTTTCCATCCATGTCTTTTCATCCCAACCATGTAGCTTTGTGTATTATATCTTTTGTTCCAATCTGAGAACTAGCCGGTTTCAGCCGTGCGGCTGGTTGTCTCAGTCTGTGACAGTCAACTCCTAATAGGAGAGTTCCATCATCCTTTCAAGCCGCGATGATTTTTTCACTAGAGGTTGGTTCTTCCGGGTCCTCTCGTTCTAGGGAAAGGTCCTCACAATGCCCTCACAAGGCGATGCTGTCAATGAAGTCTCTGTGTGCGTTTCAATTTCTCAGCTGGGTGGTTGTTTTAGCAATCCCATTGGACTCTCCTTCGCTGAATCTTGAAGTTCCTCCAAACGTTTGACATATTTCCTTTGGATGCTTAGCTGATATGTGGAACTATTATGTCCACAGTTTGATCATGGTACAACTTTGACGTGCTCACGTGTTACAGTCAAGTATACAGTTACAGTGCTGTCTCCAACTGAGCGAGTACCATGTGACTTCTGCTCTGTTAGCTGTCGTAGATGACGAAAGTCTTGACTGTGAGATGTCCCAAAGTGCTGTCTCCAACTGATCGAGTACCATGTGACTTCTCCTCTGTTAGCTGTCGTAGATGACGAAAGTCTTGACTTTGAGATGTCCCGAAAGGGTTACATCGATTGCAGTTCTGTATCAGGCTTTGGGAACCACTTTTTTCTGTGAGTGGAAGACGCGATTTGAAAGGGTGGTGGAGACGGCCCATAGTTTTTCCCAAGGAAAGTGGTCCTTTTCTTCATGATTATGAACCCTATTCTAGGATTTATGGAGGGTTCAAGTACTTCAACAGCGTTACATATATCATGTAGACTTGAAATAAAAGAAACTCGCTTGAAGTGTTCTGATAGATACGACAGGGAATAGATTACATATTATGGTGAGTTTGGTCTTCCAGAACACGGGTCAAGATGATGGATTGTGACCTTGAACTCTGAGGTATGCAAAACTATGAAGCCCTGTAGTAAATTGTGCCTGAATATATCGACGAATTTCCCAAAAGTGGCGCTTGTTTTTTTTATTGTTCTTATTCAAATTGGCCTCAACTTTATTTTAGTCTGAAGTTATTTTCAGGATATGCAATATCCAGTAAATAGCACAACATCCTCTCCTCTGTAGGTATAGTTCAAGCTCTAGACTTCCAAAGCTCGTAGTAATGTTATGCTAGTTAAAGTAGGTCGAGGGTCTGTTTCCTTGGGTACTGGCTGGGAGTTCTACCTCTATTACCTGGATGAGTAGCTTGTATCTGCCAAATCCATCTCGAAGGAAAAGTTTTGGTTCTAAGTAATTACCAAATCGTATATTCTCGTCTTTTATGTGTATGTGTAAATCCGAATGTAACAGCTTAGACTGTTTTCAAGTTGTGTGGAATTGGTCTGAAGACTTTTGTCTGTCGGATACATATAGCATCGTTACCCGTTCACTTCTACCTTGTCCACTCCATAAATAGCAACGCGCGTGTTACACAAGGAGAAGCATGGCCTTTATGCTACTGCACGCAGAAATTATTTAGTACAGTTTGCTCATCATCTTTATTCAGAGTGTGTCCGTTATCTAATGAATACACTCAGGAGAACAGCCTAAAAGCTGTCTAGTAAGAAGCCCAGATGGTCTATCGTGACGCTACTGTTCTTACTGTTTTCAAGCGCCCTTGTCAACGTACTGTGATGTCCACCACCGTTTCAATCGTGGATAAATGTTCTTAGTAGCGGACTGTATCTTAATAGTTACGACCGTCGGAGATACATACAGGCCTGCCGTGCACACTGTACTGAACACGGCGAACTTGTATTGAAAGTGCTACTAGAGCGGAACTGGACAGTAAACATGTAGAACTATATCCTGCTCTCCATGCACAGACATGAGTCACACCACACGGTCACGGCATTGGGCGTTAGTTGGATTCCGCAGTAGGATGAAGGGCAAAGCCACGGCGATGCAGATGACTATCTAGCCAATTCTCTGTTACTTTTGAACAGAGTGCTTTTGAAAATGCTAACTAGGTCAAATTTCCCCTCCTTGTATTCAATGATGATCAGTGGGTGTTCTAGGGAAAATGTGATCCGTTTTCAGCAGAACATACGCCCCTCAGGAGTTTGAGTGCTGGACGAAGAACAAGGGTTATCTGCGCAACCAACCACCATTGGCTATGGGAGATGACTTCGCATATCACTAGAACTTGTTTTGTCTACATGATGTCATAAAGAATCACTTCCTGCGGGTTCCGCTCCACCTACGATTTCAGACCTTTTATCTCAAATTTTTGTAGAGACGCTGCGACAACAGGGCCATAGTTCTACATCATATTTGGTATAAGCCTCAAACCAAAGTAGAGTTCTATCAGAAGAATATGAATCCTTGTTTTCATGTTGGACAAAATCACTCGAATGCAGCTATCTCAGTGTTTCTTAAAGTTCTGACAACTCAGCATCATACTGAGAGCCTATGGATTGTGGGTTGAAAAAAGCGATGGCATGACATTCACTAAAAGTTATTGGTTTTGTGCATTGTGTGATTTAGATCAGACTAATGATGAGCACCATGTTCACCTTGCATGCTCCATGTATCCCGGACTTAAGATATAAATATAATGTTGGTACTTCAGATTTTTATGATATACTTCGTATGTCAACACTCACTATGTATTTCAAATAAGGGTCAATTCAGCTCTATTAGTAACATACATATCTGTATGGTATCCTGGGTATGTATTTAGCTCTACAGAGCAAAGTCGAGCAAAATTCAGTCTCTTTAATTGATTCCAAGGGCTAAAAGAGATCTAATTATTCATCTTGAATATGGAATGAAAGTGTATGAACATAGTTGGAACTGAGAAATAAAACCTCTTTGCAACTAGATACGCAGTAACAAAAAGACGCAAAGTATAAACTCAATCAAAAACTTAATAATCATGTAAATGTAATGCTCAAAATGGAATGAATGAATAATGTGGATTCATTGTATGTATTTTTCTGACGCACAGATTATATCTAACAGATAAAACTAGGATGTGCAATTCAGACTTATTTTTATATAATCTGATTTTAAGAATCAGTCTTCGTACACACGTTTCAAAATATAATTCATATGACTTTCACATATTTTAATGGAGAATGTTATAATACATTGTACCTTGTTGTATATGAATATGAAAATTCGTAAATAGAAATTTAATGATAAAATATGAAAATTACAAACAGCACATGAAAATTTCTAATAATAACATTCATCGTCAATGTTATGAAAATGGAAAACTAGAATTTCACGCAAAAATAAACCAAATGTCATCAAGACAGATGCAAGGTTGTCAGTTGTGATCCTTATGATATGCATTATGAGCCATGTAATAAACAATATTTTGGGAGTCAAAATGTCAAAGCTTAATTTTTTCATCTCGAACTTTTGAAGAAATAGAGGATATTGAAGGATAGTTTACAAAGTCTAGAAAGTGGCATAAAGATCTACATTCACAATTGTGATCTTATTTCGTATTTTTTATATTTCCAGTTAATTTTGTTCAAAATTCTTCAAACCTACATCTCATGTCAGAATTGAGATCCAGTGATGGAATTCGATTTTTATTATAACATTTTTATCTTCATGTGTTTGACGCGGGATTTAAGACTTAATATAAATAAATAAATAAATATGTATATATGGATTACCTTTATATTTGAAAGATGGGCTTATTATTAATGAATGAGTTTCCATTTATAGCAATTTTGACTAGTTTGGCATTCTCATCATATCTTGTACATGTACTATAAATTATGATTTTTAATCTTGTATTTGTCATAGGTTTGGAAGTTCAATAATCCATTATGAATTGTGAATATTATATTTATATCTAACGTAGTATTGTTGAAGCAATCAATCATTGATAGTCTTGAATTCACGGCGAACGTAGCGATGATTACCAACATCTTTAAATATATATAAAGATTTATCTCTTTGATCCTTTACTTTCGAGTAATATGAAACTACCTAAACATTAACATGTTAATAAGTATATATACACAAATCTAACGAAGTGTGTTGCAAGGATAAGTCTAGAAGAGCATTATGATACTTGATGTTAATTTGGATGATTTTCTTGTTTCTAGTTATCTGATTCAAAGAGCACGAACGGGAGCAATCCATGATAGAGCAATTATGATTTGTAAATGTTCGTTGTAGAAAAATTAAAATAAATATCATTAGCCGGTGGATTTCGATAGAAAAACAAGTGGGTATGATTCTATTGATGTTTGTTCTGTTCGTAATTAAGTTAGCCTCCGTAATTCAGATATCTTTGGTTTTGTACACAGACTTTTCGTTGTGAAACTAACATCCACATGCTACCTGTTAGTTTCATCCTTGTTGAACTTTATTTGGTGATCCAATCTCTTCTATTAATTTACGATGTCACCATCTATGCATGATCATCACTTTGGTGAAGAGGAAAACATGTAGAATCTATTTTTATGGCCCTTATGTTCAAAACTAGGGTTGTGACATGAATGTGCTCTATAAAATGTCGCACTACATTAGAGAGAAAATCTCCCTTCATTTTTTCTGACCTGTTTTGTGTGGTAGCAATGGAAATTAATTCATATCGACTCATCAACAAGATTTGCCATGGACTAAGTTTCAAAATAATATAACCCAACGAAACAACTCCTGAAAATGATTCACAGAGACAGCTTCAATTCACAGTTCTGCCTTTGATGTCCGTTTACTGGAACAAAATTTGAAGTTCGGCTGGACCACTTACATACGATTTATACTTTGTCGAACGATTTCACATCGTTCGACAAAGTACGCCCAAACGATATTTTGAAATCTTCGGACGTATTTGATCGAAAAAATTTAGAGTGCACGAGGTTTGAACTGCCTTATCCAAAAAACATCACGGTGAAACTTACACTAGTAATATATATAATTCAATAGTGGCAGATTGAAAGGATATGAAAAGAAAAACGGAATCCCTCTTGCTTAAGATAAAAAACAGCTCCTTCCAGAGGTTGCAGTAACCATTTCATTATTCCACTCATAAACCAAGCATTCGTGGGTGGCCCATGCATTGCTACTACATGCTTCCACTTCATACACATAAGGGCAACGAATGTAACTCACAAAAGGTCTACATATCGAAAGGCAACCCCTTCGGTAACACAACTTCCAGTCTTGGAAAAATAATGATCTAGCCTTGCAGGGCGACATCATTTTGATAGGAAGAGACAAGTTCGAAAACTACACATTACAAGACATTCAATTCCAGGCGTTCAAAACTGTCTCAATGATCTGCAAACTACCTACCAATTGAGAGAGACACAGAGAGTGTGTGTGTGTGTGTGTTTGTGAATCCAAGAAAAAATTTCTTCGCTAAATTTCAGATTCACCCCTTGCATGAGAATGCTAACAATACCTACGCAAAGGTCGCTGAGAAACCTAGGCGTAATCTCCAAATATATACTGCGAAATCTCCAAATCTTGCGTTCTCAAGAGGTAAACAAATCTGTTACTCCTTCCATCAATGACTACGGATTATTGTAAACCATTCTGTGATAATGTGCACCAAATTGAAATACATTTTAAAAACGATAAGGTATACGCCAATAAGACCAGTCAACAAGCAATCTTCCAATTTGCACTGTAATACATCACAAACCATATTATCGTCAACCTATTACTCATTTCTTGCTACATTGCTAGTAGAAAGACGGTGGAGGAGAGTCAAGGCTCATTATGTCCGGTAAAGAATATAAGAGAGTGTTGTCTGTCCACTTCTCAACGGAATGAATCTGGAGTGAAACTTGGCCGTCCAGTGGAGAATAACCAGATGCGGCAATGAAACACTAACTCCAACTAGAGAAGTCTAAAGAATTCCCGGAATCATGTGTGAAGTTCCAACAGTTGCTTTGCATATGATGAACTTCGCTTAGAATTAGAAAAATGAAAGAACGAAGCTTTCTATTTTCAAAAGGAAGCTTAACTCGCATGGTATTTCCATCCGGCTTCAACGTTAACTTACAAATCGAAGAATTATTTCAACACATATGTACTGGTCAACCGACTTGCATTTTGAAAGAAAAATAGCGCCCGTCGTAGAGACTCCACCAACTCTGCTACTCCACAAACTCGCAATGGAAGGCCAAGTTGAAGACGCTTCGACGCTCTGATGGACATTTTACACCATCTGCTACAAGCCATTCTCATACCCAACCTTGTCTTATGCTTCTACTGAGCTACAGCACTAGCTTACTTCCGACTCGCACCGCAGTGCACAATCCGCTTCTCCTAAGTATCCTCGCAACTGGATTCGTCTGTGACTTCTTCAAGATGTGCAGGGGAAGCCAAAACACCACCTCTGGAGGAATATAATAGCGAACAACCTCGAACCTTTTCAGGAGCGCAAAGGCAGGATCATGGAAGACAACGTAAAACTGCTTCCGTGGGAAATGAACAGGTTAGTTGCCCAGGAAAGTATCCACTTCCAGAGAGATCAATTCTAAGACATTTGCCTCACAGCCTGTGAAGTATGACCGTGAGAGAATGCATAATTTACAAATGGGCAAAAGAAGAGGCGGTATCACTAAAACCGTTCCGACCAACAAATGTACAAGATATAGAGTGTTGCCTACTGGTCCCAGTCTTATGGACAATCCGTCAATGACCTAAAAGGTCAGAAGAGAAGCAGACAGACAATGACAAAGCATCCAAGTAAGAGGAGGAGTCTTGAAAGTAGCGCCTCCTGCTGCTGATCAGGTACAATTGGGGGAGAAGCATGGATGTGTGAACTCTGAGAACCCGGACCAGAGGGCCCAAAGTGAAGTCCTGAGGTGCCACCTAAACCGGCCGTCTCCGGAAAGCCATGTAATTGTAAGCCGAAGAGTGATGGAAACAAGCCAAAACCAGCTGAAAGAGTAATGTTTCCAAATCGTGCACTGGCAGGACCTCCAGGCCCAGGCATGAAATTGAAACCATGGTGCTGATAAGAGTGTTGATCTGCGTGCCTGGCTGTATCGGGCCTTTGCCCCGCTGGTCTGTGAGGGATGTTCAATCCTGGAACCGCTTTGGTCCTGGGATCAACCGACCCCACCTTTCCTCGTCCATAAAGAGGTATAACCTTCTCCTCTTCCACACTCGCTTTGCAAACAGGACATTCCTGGCAGATAGAATGGATCTGCAGCCAGCGGTAGAGACAGGGCCAGCAGAAAAGATGTCCGCAAAGAGTGACCACCGGATCTTGGGCTAACTCCAGACATATGTTACAATCAAAACTTCCTCCATCAGCCCCCGCTGTCGACTGAGGAGCTTGCGAGTCTTCGTTGACTTGCTGGGACTGCGATTGAGATTGAAGGGGTGACAATTCTGGATCCTGCATCCTCGCTTGGGAGCTCCCGCTTCCTTCAACATGCTTCATGCCACTTCCAACATGCAAACTATCCGACCGTATCGTATGTGCAAACCTCCTCTTGCCCTGGTCTTCTTCCAAACTCTACGAAACTTGCACAGTGAGTTCTCTATCGAACCTCCAAATCACTGTATACTCCACAGCCTTTCTCGCTCAAGTCCTAACCCTGCCCTGCTCCACCTTCGTCTCTGCCACCGACGAAAGAAAACGCTGCTATCAGCAATGTTCCGAAGTCGATCACGCGATCAGCCGTGAACTACCTCCAGAGCTCGCACACCGTCCTTCGCCCGCTATCACTTGCCTGAAAGGCGATCGATTTTCCAGAACAATTGCGATCCCCACGACAAATTCCCTTAGCCTAATCCCCTAGACGTTCCTCCAAAGAACAAGACATGCGCAGAGTCGTGGATCCTGCCTCTGGACTAACCCTGAAACCACAAACACTACTCCCTAAAGACACAATCCACCGAACGAAATTCCCTCCTAATGGAAAATGGAACTACGCACTGATTCGATCGAACCATCCCATCACCTCACCGGCGTCAATGGACCTCGCCTTGTCCTCTTCGGCTTCTTCCGCGAGAGAGGAGAGTCCGGGTCCTGTCTTCATTGGCTGTGACGGGTACAGTACGTGGCACCGAACATTGAGGCTGCTTATAGAACCACCGTAATTAGCTCGTCTTCGACCCCGTGAAGCCCGCAGTGAACCCCTTCATTCTCCTCTTGATCCCACATTGGCGGGTCCCGCCTGCAACACTTACCTCCTAGAAGGTCCGCCGCGGGTCTCCACGTCGTCCAAGTTTCGGCGTCCGTTGGATAGTAGCCGCGTGCCGCTTCAAGCCAGCATGACCGATGGTCATACCCTCGATCTCTCTTAATTCACTTTGGGTTGCCAACGGGATAGATGCCACTGAGTCCTACGAGATTGATATATTGTCCCGTTAATCTACAAGATGAATGATCTACGGTGAGCGTCGTTGAATCGAAAAGTAGATAAGCATAGTCGCAGCGATTACGCGTGAGGAAGCGCGTCGTCCGACCTCAGGGACGTCAGTTTCTGTTTACGGTCAATTCAACCTAAGCAATCTAGAATGCACATTTCTAGAACTTGCTGTCGCGTGAAGTCGAAGAACCTAGGCAAAATCTCTTAATCAGAGGCGGTTTCCAATATAAGTTTTATGCAAGACACGATGTCGTGACAAAGACTTCCACACATCCAAGGCAGCACGAATAGAAACAACATAGATCAAAATAGTTTCTTACCATGTAGACAATGTACACATTCAATCACTAAATGGTTTCCATTTAGTTTTAGCGTTATGTTGTATCCTTTGCTTAATGTCGTGAAGATCCGGCCAAATGTACATCCATTGAGAAGTTACCATGTTGGCATCACACACAGATGATGTTACGGCGTGTTCAAATGGCTGGTAATTCATCCGAACAGATACTCGGACCCAGATTATCTCGTAAAATACTCCATTGTCCACAAGGTTTGAGCAGGATATCTAGTCTGCCAGATGCTCTGTTTCATTATTACCTTTAATTAAAACAATTGCTCAATATACAAAGAATGATACTTAGTCTATAGATTATCCACATCCATAGACATTTCAGTGTTAATTTAAGTGAAACCGAATTACATACACAAAAAGTAAAAAAAAAAATGAATAAAATTTCATTTAACTATTTTCTGTTAAAACATGAAATTTTCATATATTTCATTATATAAATTTTACATAATGCCAAAAGGTTTTTTTTCAATTTCGAATGTAATGACAATATAACTTCTCTTGGCTTAAAAATTACACTTTTTGTTCTTAGTTGAATAGATAAAATTGGTAGTGATTTTATAAACATCCGCATCAACTTCAGACGTGAACTCAGCAGTGTCTGATTTATAAACAAAGAATCCAACTATATCAGGGCATGTATTAAATGCAGGCGTATTTTGTTGAATTTGATGTTAAAGTTGATGAGTAAGAAATAAACAATTTATATCTTTTTTTATGTGCATACGAGATAGGTAAATTTTAATTGTTTTTCATTATTACATAAACACATTTTCATTGAAAAATTTAACATGATTCTAGAAAAGAAACTTGCAAATATCAAAATTGAAGGTGGGTTTAAATTCTAACTTTTGAAGTGTTTCAAATTTATGAAATATCTTACATATCAAATCTATCTTCTTAATAAATATAAGCACACATAATATTCTTTGTGTGCGTATTGAATATGTTTTTGAGAAATCAGTGAAATCAACATTTCTAAAAAAATATTAAGATATGCATCCCAGAATTTCTTTTAAATAGTTTTTGAAGTGAATCTACTATATGTTCATGTCTACAACTAAAAACTTGAAATTGATTCCTATACGACATATCATGAAAAGATATATACAGATCTAGTTGAATTTCTCACTTTAATTATTTTTTGCAAATAAATGAAAGCGGGAAATTACTGCATTATAATTGACCAATTTTATATTTGTATACACATATATCAATTTTCTACTGGAAATATATGCGGAATAATGACAAATATACATTATGTAGGAGTTGCTCCTATCATTGTTTCCATATTGTTTTTGAAACAGATTGGTTGACTTTATGTTGTAAAGCTATAAAGAAGAGAGAGAAATGTCACTACGTAAATTTGAAAAACAGAGTAACTTTTGTATGAGTTATTTCATTCCCAGTCTGAATGCACATATAGCTTGCAAGACATAACTTAACATATAGGCTTGTCGTGATCACCGAATGCCCAATCTGGATTTTATTTCAAATTCATTAACTATTAAATTATCATCACCATGATTCAGACCTGTCTTGCAGTTGATATCTCATTGGATTATGTAACCTCAAATTCCCTAACAGGCAAAACAATTCAACATGATTAGCGTATGGAATAAACCAAAAGACTTGTGTCAACGTATCATCACATGATAGTTAACAGTTGATTACGGAACTAGTATTACACTACAATTAAAAATAACTTAGTAGGAAATTGACTTCATCAACTGCAGAGAACGAATGAAACTATGAACAATGCAATACGAACTGAATCGCGTCGCATATATTACCTCTCAACGAATGAACTTTGTAAAATTCCAGTACCGCTATCTGAAAGTAGATGTTAGTCGCTATGCTTGATAAGGTTGCACTTCCATCTTCGGACAGATGCCAACATGATCAAAGTATGCTAAATGTACTAAAATTTCATGTCTTACTTCCTCAAACCAATTCTCACGTTAGTCCCTTGGACATCCTCAACTTGCAAGCCATCTTGTCACTTCATAACTTGATCTTTGCCCATCTCAGTGCCTCTTCATCTTCTTGCTTGTTTGGACAACAATTTGTTTCTTCAGACATGTTTCAGCGTGGATGTAGGGATTCTCAAACTCTAAAAAACTAAAATTGCAATTAATTATAAATATTTAACTTAAGTAATCCATTTCATACAGGATGGTATATGAAGCAAATAACAGAATGTTATCATTTGGTTTTTTACGGATTAAATGGTTGAACTAATGTGAATCTAACATGATTGAATCTGTAGTTTATTTGAAAATATGAGACTCATTAAATTTTATTAACATGATCTGAAAAAATAAGTTCTATAAGAGATAAGCTTTTAATATGTAAAGTAAATATGAGTAAACTTTAGTAATACATAAATTTATCAATTATAACCTTGACTACATTCAAAAACATAGAGAATGTAATCTATACTCTCGTGACAATTATCCTCCTTAACGAGAGCTTCACTTAGAACTTTTGCTCTTTGATTGAGAAATTGTACCAATTCCTACCAGGAATTTCGATCCACACTCCTTGATCTTCTCCATTTGAACAAAGGTATTTTTGACATGGAAGAAGAATTTATCTTCATATTTTAACATGTCAGAAGTTTAACATGATGTACTTTCAAGAAGTTTGGATTCATTTGGCATCACATTCTAAACTTTTTGGAGCTAAATATCCGATGGATGTCAATGAAAAACAAAAAAATGTCATTTATCATCACGACAAAGTGATGGACAACTTCATGTAGTGGATGATATGCACAAAACTAAATAATTCTCTAACTAAGGGCAAGGTGAGTAGTAACATGTACCATTCAAAGAATTTGAATGGTATTGAACGTGTTATTTGAGATAGTTGAGTAGTTTGAAATATCTCAAGGGTGCTAAAGATTAAGATATTTTGTTTATGGATTATTAGACAATGTCAAATTTTTGCTAGACTATGTTGATAGAAGATCTTATGAACAAGATTTGAGCAAGAGTAAATCTACAATTTGATACATATTTATGATGGATGTATTAATTAGATATTTACTATACAAAATTTGCTTAGTTCAATCCACAACAAACCTGAATATGCAAAGGCAGTGGTAGTATGAGACATTGTGTTATTGCTATTGTGATATTTATGAATAATTTTCCTATTTTGCATTAGGAGCACAAGTAATATTTATTAGCAATTTGGAATTCTATATTTATTTATTTTGTCATGTTTTGGCTATAATTTTAGTTTAAAAAGAATAATGTGTTATGTTTCAATCTATAACTTTTTCACAATCTATACAAAGTTTATAAACATTAGTATATGCACAACATTAATATATAAAAAGATTGTTAGGAGTCAATTCCACTCTTTAAGTAACTCAAGTTAATATGATCTAATTTATTGTAGTTACTTAAAGTAAAATTATATATTATCACTACATAAATTTTTTATAAAATCTCTCATTTTTAGGTTTTGTAGGTAAAGCTTGAGATATTTTTGTGGATGTAATTAATAGGAATTAATAACTGTTAAAGTTAACTCATGTTAATTAGTAAACTTCTTGCGACTCTTCCTAGCCAAATATAGCTACAATGAGTAGCAATGATGGGAATTGTTAACCCCAAAATCTTCTAACTTTAAGCATGTTTTAAAATTTATCAATATGTTCTCTGGCGTGTTACAACCGGGGTCTTATTTCTCCATCTAGATTAACTATAAGACCTGTTGTTGTATATGTGAAGTAGTCTTAGAAGTAGCCAAGAAGTTGATCATGATAAGTTTAGATATAACTATGTCTTGCTGATTATGACTGGGTTTATCCAATTAAGACTAAGTGTAGCTATAATGTCTATACTTGGCGGAATAAGGTTTTAAAAAATTTGAGTGAACATTACTATTTTGTCTCTTACATTTGAAAAAAAATAAATTTTTGACTAGGTAATTACTTTTTATTGATTTATTTAAGTAATTCAAACTTCATTGGATAAACTAAATCTAAAGTTAAATTTGTGGCAAGTGAAGTCTCTAGACCTTTGAAACTTCCAAATAACATGACATCATCTCAACCTAGGATTAGGAAAATTCTAGAACATTTAGATAAAACAATGATATGTTGTCACCTATTAAACATTACTAGTAAAACATATCATGGACTATACTAGTAAAAGTAAATTAGGAGATAATACTCATCTAATACTATGGTTATTTTTCAAGTTGTATATATAAACGTAGAAAAAAGATTGTAAAGCAAATTTTGAGAGTGATAAGTATTTATTTCAACAATATAATTTTGAGTTTTAGTAACCATATGTGTTTGCAATTGAGTGATGAGTGTAAACTTTGTGTAAGAGAATGTTTAGTACATGGTCATATTGGAATATGCTTAGCTTCAACAACCATTATGAGTTATTGAAAAGCCATCTAAGTTAAACGTAAGTGAGAGTCAGCTTGGAGCTCATAGACACACATTATGTCGTATCTTATGTGTAACATCTTGTATTTACCCTATGTCTAACACTCATATAGTTCTTGCTATTTTCCGTGACTCGTACTAACAAATTGGTATCAAAATTGTGATTTGTGACGATGATTTTTTCTGTTTTGAAACTACTAAGCTAATTGGATTTTGATACAAATTGTTATTTTTTGTCACTATTTGTATAGTAAGTGTGATTCATTCACAAATATTTCATTTGATTTTCTGAAGAATTTTTTCTTTCCACCTTAATGCTGGAGTCGGAGAGCAAGGATTGACTACTATCCATACAAATTATAAAAACGAGTGACAAAAAATTGATAGATGACAGAATTCTGGCTTGACAAAATTTTGTTGGGAGATAAAAACATGACGGTGACAAAAATTGATGCAAATCTGAAAATTTTGGACTTGTTTCACCGATTTCTTCATTTGCGAGTCGGTCCGCATGCAAAAGCAATTGAAGGCAAAAGACTACAAGCTCATAAAATTTTGACGACGCAAAGATGATCAAAAATTCAAGATTGCGTGAATTTTCATACCATCGAGCGCGAACGAATTCACGAGGCAACAAACTTTTTGCACACATCCTAACAGAGCCACGCGGAGAGGCACTAGCAGTCGAGCAAAGAAGCGCACAGTCGAGAATTTTATTGTGCGGCGACACGTCATATTGACAATGCTCACATGTCACGTATACATTAACGTCACGTCTTTACATCATTACTTTGAGTGCCACGTCAATCTCCAAACGTGCGAGGTGCTGACATGTGTCTATAGTCCGTCTATGCATACATGTCACGCGGACGACAAAAGGCGGAGAACTAACATGTGGGACCAACGCAAGCAGTGTAGCGCAATCAAAAGGTTAGTTGACACGTGATGTGAACGACACGAATGACATGCCACAAACACATTGAGTCACGTAAGTCACATCACGTATGCGTGAAAATGCCATACAAACAGGTGACTCGTCCCGAGCAAGACACATGACACGCGAAGAATGCGGCAGACGCGATGATTCATCACGTGAATGGACTTGCAACGCGAGGAGGTTGCACATGCAGACACGCGGCGGATAGCAAGATTTGAGCAGATATGGGCAACTTCTGAAATTTTTTGCACAAGGTTTAAAATCTTATGTTCGAATATTTATGCAATGGTGTAACTCTATGGTTTAGAGAGAAGTTTACTTGAAGATAGAAACATAAACTCTAAAGATAAGAGATACCACCAATGATTATACTCTCCCTCATATAACTCTCACCAACAACTACAACTACAATGAGATTAGATCTTATCTCCACCATTCATCCCTCTACTAGTGGATGGATGACGTGGCGAGTAACCCTAACAAGCACATGGATTGCTAACGTGACGCTTTCAACTAACACACTCAATCCTTAACTAAAAATCATACAGATTGCTAACTTGACACTTTCAACTAACAAACCTACTCTGTACCTACCAAGAGCGCGGATCGTTGATATCACAACTATGATCAGTGCATGCTAAAGTATCTTTATCAACATTTAGAGTAGCCTCTACTTTAGTTGTAACTAACTAAAAATGGTTATAAAGGAAATATTTTATAGACAAAATATTCTATAACTGTCATCGTGATAAAAAAACTATCACTTAAAACAAAATTGTAAGTACTCTCTTGGTGGAGGAGGTAGAACCAGAGATGCTGTCATCATCTCATCCATACACTTCCGGACTGCATTGATTATGACTCAAGTTCAGTCACATTCTAGACGTTGCCGACGATTGGCGGAGTGTTGAATCAAATAAAACAAGATGTAGAACCATGAAACAATCTTTGAAAGTATGAAAGCTCAATATAGGGGTAAATTCTCTTACAGTCAAACGGTGACTTGTTGAAAATGTAACATGAGTGACTACATAAAAAAAAATTATAGTTGAAAGTCAAAGGTGAAATACTACTTCAATCTAAACAAAGAACTTAGTATCCAAGGGCTACGATTTGTTAGCAAACAGATTTTTTTTTTAAATGAGTGAATTTATTATGCTTAAACACTTGTTCATCATTCACACAAATACATACATTTATTTACCAAGATTGCAAAAAAATATTTTTTATTTTCATTTTATTTCAACTTTATCGAAAATAATAACTATAATAGATTACTAAATATAAAATATTAGGTGTAATAATAATATTTATGTTTTTTTATATTCAAAAGGTATACAAGATTTTTGTTCAAATTTAAAAAAATTCATTTTTGTTGATAGAAAATTTGATTTTTTATTGATAATTTTCAGAAATAGACTTTGCTATTGAAAAATATTCAAAATTTTTAAAAAACAAAAATTTGAAAGTCTTATCATGTGTAACTTATAAAATCTACATTCTAAATTTCGGTTTTTTTTAATAATGAAAATATTTATTCTATGAGTATACTATTATTTTAAAACATTTATTGTTTTGTTGAAGAAAGAACATTTTTACTTGAATTTTTGTATATACAACCAGAAAACATTAGCATTATTATGAGAAAAAACCTTTAAATGACATATATATGGGTTAAAAATACTTTCATTATTTTTTTTGTGAAATTTAAACATTCTATTGTAATTATCGTCTTCATAATAAATAATTAAAATGTCAAAATTTCTTGTAAGTATTATTATCTTATGCTGATTACAATTACATGGTTGCAATTGTTAATTTGACAAATAATTAATTATTCTTCTAATGTGATGCATGAAATTTGACATTTCAATTTTTTTGATTGTTTCTATATATAACATTGAAAATTCTCATTTGAAAATTAATAATATATAAAATATATTTTTTATAATTAATTTTTTTTACTGTATACATATTACTAATCCAGATTGGGTATTATAAATTAAAAAATTTTAAAAAATTATTTTGAAATATTTGAATAAAAAATACTCGAAAATCAAAATAAGTAAAATCATATATACATATATAGAGAATCATAAATTTACTTGTTAGAAAGTTATTTATAGTAGATAACTTGATGCAGGTTATAAAAATGAACTTAGAGTATAGATATCAGGAAATTATTTAACAAAAATATTAGAAAATGTCTTAATAGAAAATCTATGACTATATTGTTGTTAAATATTAAAAAAACTTGGCTCGATTATCAGTAATATCTACTGCAAAGCATTTCTTTGTGTTGACGCATACCAATTCAATCCTTGCATGCCTCAAGCGTGGCATGCCTGCTCTGTACCAGGTACGGCCTCTGAAACAACTACGGTAAGCCCGAGGTGTCCAGATTTCTGTCATGGTCAGAGTAACATGGTTCGTGACGACATTAGGTGTGGTGCCTACCGGAGTACCGGAGGCTTACAAGGCTGAGACACGATTTGGTGAGAGATGATAAATTATGGAAGGTAATAAGAGACCCAGCAGGATCTTTGTGGATAAAAAGGAGGAAATGGGAATTATGTTGAAGGGGATACGGAGAATAGTAGCGATATTTCTGACGACAAGAGCTGGAGCCAATGAGCGAGCCCCACTGCCAACTCGGAAATGCCACGTGCGCTCGGGGCTTGACACGGGGTCGAAGCTGATAACGAGACTTTATAATCCCTTGGCGTAAATTCCCTTCTACTTCAAACCCGAGGGCGTAGGTGCTACACTCGACCTCCGACACCCCGTGTCGTCGATGATGACATCTGACGGCTGGAGGGTGGATAGAATATTCGGCCGGAATCCGGAAGATATACTTCACTGGGTGCGAAAGGTTTACCGCAGTAACATTGTGCCAGAGTGTGCAGATAGGGCTCGTTTGGAGCGACGAGCGACTGGAGACCGGACGCCAAAGCCAGAGACCGACGGATGAGGATTTGATTCTCTGGGTGCTCTCTCTCTCTCTGCGGGGCTCGCCTCACCGCCAGGGGAACCAGACGTCTACACAAAAAACTCCACCGCATCTGTGCCTGCCACCCTCGCCTCCTCTCACCTTTCTTCCATTTCGAGGTACGTCGCTGCGTCTCTGGGAGGCCAGTGCTCCGCTCGGCGCCTCTGCGCCCAATTCCCGTTTGTTTGGTCCGCTTTTATCTTTTATCGACCTCGTCGGCCTCTCCCCCGACCCTTATCACCGTCCCTGCAGCCTGCATCACCTGCCTCCTCTCTTCTGGCTCTGAACCCTTTGCTCCCTTCTTTTCTGTTTCTTTCCTGGTTTGATTGTGGTGGGTTGTTGGTTTGCTGGAGCGAGCGAGGGGCGGGCCGTAGATAGGGTGGAGTGAAAGCAGGGGCTTGCAGCTTTCTTTGGGGTGTTTTCGGGGGTGAATCGTGGAATGCCCGAGTAAGAAGAGCGCGGGCACGCTCTGGCTAGGACGATTTTGTAGACGGGGGGAGGGTTGCAGAGGCGGAGGAGGGCAGGGGTTAAGAAGGGTTTGTGCGAGTGGCCAGTGCATGAAATTAATCCGGAGGGACGTCCGGATTACTTTCAGCAGCAGATTCTGCAACAAGCTCGGCTGATGCGAGTGCGAGAGTAGGAGGCATGGCGGCAGTCGGGAACGCAGCAGTGGAGCAAGGTGGGGAGTCTGACAGAGAGACTTTCGAGGAGGGAGATAATGTGCTGTTAGATGAGAACGAGCAGGACGATGTGTTTGAGGACGCGCCAGCGGGAGTTGTGCAACAGACCGGGCAGCAACAACAGGAGCACGAGCGCGGGAGCAGCGACGGGCGGGACCAGGCTGCAGGTGGGCTTCAAATCCGAGTCCGAGCGCCTGTTACTGACGAAACTGAAGAGAATGATGCTGTGGAAGATGATGGAGAGGCAAGCTTTGGTAGCGGTGAGAGTTTTAATAGTGCTTTGGAGCGAATGGCGTCCTCCTCCGCCGCGAGCTTCGATACCGCCAGCCCTAAAATTTCTTCTCCGGTAGGTTCTTTGTCCGGCCCTGCCGTGCTTGGAGATCCTCCCGAGAATATGAGCGTGGCTCAACAAGGCGCACTCATGCGACTCAATGCGATGCTTAAGGGAGAGCCTTCATTAGATACCTCCGTAATCGATAATTCCAGTGAGGAGAAGTTTAGGCAGCGTATTGCTGAACTAGCAGAAAGTCGTAACCAATCCGCGGAAGATGCTAGCTTTGGTAGCATTGTAGACGCTCTGCTGCCCTTGGTTCTTGAGAAGTCTAGCGCTGCTGAAAAACAGTCTGATTTGAAATCGGAGGATACTGTGAGCCAAGCTGACAATACCCCTCTAGCCTCGTCTGTAGAGTCGAAAGAGGTTCAAAGCCCCATGCCTAAAGCAAAACTTAGTGCTGAGGATGAATCTTATCTGACTGATGAAGACGATATTGATAGTGACGGCCCAGTCGCCGAAATTGATACTGAAGAGAATGGCGATTACAAGCCGGAAGAGAAGTTCGATGATGAAAATGATGTTGAGAAGGAAGACGAACGTCAAGAGGACGCTGCCACAGGGGATGTCCAAATTGCAGAGATTCCCGAAGTAGGGTTCCAGGAGCCAGCGCAGCAGGAAATTTCTGCGAGCACTGATAGAGAACTGGCACCGGAGCTGCCCGTTGCAGTCGCGAGTACCCTAGAGGCGGAAGATGATAGCCAAATCCAGGATTCGAAGGAAGAGGAGGTCGGCCCAGAAGCTTTGGCCGGGGCTGAGGATTCTATATCACAATACGGAAGCGGCGATGAGGCCGACATGCCGGAGGATGTGGTTAGTACCAGCGAATCCCCTGCCGATATACCAGAAGATTCTACGAGGGTGCGAGCAATGCCCACAGCGAAGCTGACAACAGAGGATGATGAGGCATCACCGAGCGAGGGTGAAGAAGAGGAGAGGGAAAATGGAGATGAGCCGGACGACGATGTTGTAGAGGAGTTAATTATAGATGACAACGACGACGAAGATGACCATGACAGCTTTGAAGAAGCGGTCGAAGAAGAGGAAGTCCAGGATGTACCTCTGAAGATAAGGGCAATTCCAGATCCCGAACCCGTACCTACGTACTCATCTATTCTGTCTGGACGTGGAGCTGAACCCAAAGTCGAAGACACTGTGGTAGAGAGTGAAGTGGACGCAGCGAACGGTGACAAAGTAGAAGCAGAGTCTGAAGACAAGGATACCCTTGCAACTTCAGAATCTGAGGAAGTATCTAAAGATGTGCCGTCTGAACCAGAGCATGTTCCCAAAGATGTGCCGTCTGAACCAGAGCATGTTCCCAGCGAGGGAGTTGTAGCCGAGGAAGAACAGAAAGTGAGTAGTTTGCCCGAAGCCGAGCCAAAGGAAGAGCCCGAAACAGATGTAAGAGAATTTCTTTCGGCTGTCGAGGATGTGTCTCTTCCCTCTGCAGATTCAGCAGTGGAGAAAGAGCAGGCCCAAAACCCCGAGGAGTCCAGTGCAAGTGTGGAGGAGCATCCTACATCAAGCCCTCTTTCTCAAAGACTTGAAGATGTCTCGGATGACGCTATCGCCCAAAATACAGCAACAGTCGTAGCTCACAATCCCGAAGAGAATGAGGAGTCAAGGGTATCTGGTCAGAACAATGTTGAAGGTGTTGAGGAGGAGCATGAAACTGCCGCTGAAATCGTAGCAGATAACAAACCTGTAGGCTTGGGGGCTTTGGAAGACTCCAGCACTGAAGTAGCCCCAGAGAAAGAGCCTAGCCAACCTACAGCAGAATTCAGCATTTCCCCATCCAAGTTCAAGACTGAATTACAGGACGAGACAATGTCTCAGGATGCAGATGACAGAGAAGACGGTGATAATGGAGGAGATTGGGATGAGGAGATTGAGGAAGACGATGATGAGGATGCTGATGCCATTTTGGAAAGCTCTTCAGCTTTAGCTGCTTTGGTTCGTGCTGCAGATGCACCAGGTGGTGGTGAGGCTGATACTCCCTCGTTGGGTGCTGCAGGGCCCTCATTGCCTGCACGACCTACTCGCATTGGCAGGTCTGCACCATCTTTGGATCCAGCCCCTCGCGCTGCACAACCGCGCAGCACTGGAGCTGCAAGTACTCAATTGTCCACCTCTGATGAGAACCAGGCAAATGGAGAAGCCGGTGATGGTAACGAGGAGACGAGGGAGAAGCTCCAGGTAATCAGGGTGAAGTTTTTGCGCCTTGCCCTTAGATTAGGCCAGTCTGCACACAATGTAGTTGTTGCCCAAGTTCTGTACAGGTTGGGTTTGGCTGAGCAGCTGAGAGGTGGCCGGAGCTCTAGCCGCAGTGGAGCTTTCAGCTTTGATAGGGCGAGTGCGATTGCTGAAGAGCAAGAGGCAGCTGGTCCGGAAGAGCTTGACTTTACTTGCACAATCATGTTACTGGGTAAGACTGGTGTCGGAAAAAGTGCCACTATCAACTCCATATTTGATGAGCCGAAGACAGGCACCAATGCTTTTATGCCTTCAACCAAAAAGGTCCAGGAGATTGTGGGACATGTCCATGGTATCAAAGTAAGGGTAATCGACACTCCAGGACTTTTACCATCCGTTGCCGACCAGCGTCACAACGAGAAGATCATGGCTTCAGTTAAGAGGTTCATCAAGAAGTCACCTCCTGACATTGTTCTTTATTTTGATCGTCTCGACATGCAAAGCCGGGACTATGGGGATTTGCCATTGCTGCGGACTATCACTGACACCTTCGGGGCTGCCGTGTGGTTCAATGCCATTGTTGTTCTGACGCATGCTTCGTCTGCACCTCCTGATGGACCTAATGGACTTCCCCTCAGCTACGAGATGTTTGTTGCACAGCGATCTCATGTCGTCCAACAGACAATTCGTCAGGCTGCCGGAGATATGCGCCTTATGAATCCCGTGTCTCTTGTTGAGAATCATACTGCTTGCAGGATGAACAGGGCAAGGCAGAGAGTGCTTCCCAATGGGCAAGTGTGGAAGCCTCAACTCCTGCTTCTTTGTTTCGCTTCCAAGATTCTGGCGGAGGCCAATTCACTTTTAAAGTTGCAAGACAACACTCCAGGGAGGCCATTTGGGGCTCGCCCAAGGGTTCCTCCTCTTCCATTCCTTCTGTCATCCCTTCTTCAGTCCCGGGCACAGTTGAAGTTACCCGATGAGCAAATGGGTGATGACGGTGAGTCAGATGAAGAGTTAGATGATGATGAGTCTTCTGACGAGGAAGAAGATTATGATCAGTTGCCTCCGTTCAGGCGTCTTGCTAGAGAAGAGGTTGCTGAGCTAGATGAAGATAATCGAAGGAAGTACTTTGAAGAGCTTGCCGAGAGGGAGAGGTTGTTTCAGAAAAAACAGTGGAAAGAAGAGTTGAAGAGGAGAAGGGAAGCGAAAAGGAGGATGGCTGATTCACCTAGAGGCGATCAGCCACAACTTGCAGATGAAGGTGCGGACGACGACATGGGAAGGTCAGCAGCCGTGCCGGTACCGATGCCTGATATGGCACTTCCGCCATCCTTCGATTCAGACAATCCCAGCCATAGGTATCGGTACCTGGAGACTGCCAATCAGTGGGTTGTCCGCCCAGTGCTGGAGACACACGGATGGGACCACGACAGTGGTTACGATGGATTTAGCGTGGAGAAGATGTTTGTCGTCTCTGAGAAAATTCCTGCCTCAGTGTCTGGTCAGATTACGAAGGACAAGAAGGAAGCAAACTTGACTATGGAATGTGCTGCATCAGTGAAGCATGGAGAAGGAAAGGTCACATTGGCAGGGCTTGATTTACAGACGATCGGGAAAGATTTGGCTTACACCCTCCGCAGTGAGACACGATTCAGCAACTTCAAAGGAAACAAAACAACTGGAGGACTGGCTCTTACTCTTCTTGGCGATACTATTGCCGCGGGAATGAAGATTGAAGACAGGCTGATCGTTGGTAAGCGCTTGAAGTTGGTACTTAATGGTGGCGCCATTACTGGACGAGGTGATGTGGCATATGGAGGAAGTCTTGAAGCAACCCTGAGAGACAAGGACTATCCTCTGAGTCGTACTTTGTCTACCCTTGGGCTTTCAATCATGGACTGGCATGGTGACTTGGCCATTGGTGGAAACCTACAGTCCCAGATGGTCGTGGGCAAAACGATGATGGTGGGTCGAGCCAACCTAAATAATAGAGGAGCAGGGCAAATCAGCATTCGAGCCAGCAGTTCAGAGCAGTTGCAAATGGCACTGATTGGGCTCCTCCCGATCATACGTTCTCTTGCTAACCGTTTGTTCTTCTCTCAATCACAACAGTAGGTAACGAACCTGTTTCAGGGAACAGAGATAAACTGGAGTTTAGGAAGATACACCACTGATAAGTCCAATTATACCGGTGCTTGTAATTGTAGGTCCGTTCACGAATGTGGCTTTTCCGAGCTGTATAGCTATGTGACCGCAAGTTTACAATCTTTACCTGTCAATGTTCCTGTGCTCGAGAATTTTGTAGAATGTTCGGCCGAGAACACATCTCTTGCTGAGATTGTTGGAGAGGACTTCCATCTGTCTAAGTAGGTAACAGTTTTGCTTTGGGTTTTTTAGGACTGGTTTTCACTAGGTAAGAGGCTGCTTCTTTTATTGAGAGCAGATGATGAATAGGAATGAATCTAGTGCCAGTACTTGGCTCCCACAATTAAGGCTTTCTTCTATAGGCTGAACGGAGGGAGTACGAATCTTTGAGAAGTAGATACCACAAATGCTATGAAAGTAAGGCTGTTTTGATAAACCAACAACGAGAAATCGATTCTTGGAAGAGCAGTACAGTCGGTCACTTTCTCTATCGCGATTTGAGTTGAATAATATTGATTATCATCCATTGTTGTTTCTCCCGGATATTGGAACAATTTATAAGTGAACATGTATTTGGGTAACTGATTCGTATTTGGATGTAGCGTTTGTATGTTGTATTACATCTTAGTTACATACTTTCATGAACATGCACATTGGCACTACTCAAATAGTAGGACCTCTGTTGATAAGGACTCCAGCATCTCCACATCTTTCTTCGGAGTTTCAGGATTCATTGTTGACAGAGCTTCTGCTGTATTAATAAATGAAGCGTATAGCCTTCTAATAGGAGGTCCTCTCCTGAGTTACTTAGTGCACTTCGCTCTATCGAGCTGTACTTCTATCGTACCGGTTGGCGTGAAACGTGTATCCTGCGTGAACGGCGATACCACTGCAAAGCGACGTAGTGGTGAAGCATCGTGTTGATCCTTTCTGGTTTCTCGTATCAACGGCTTTGCAGACAGTTGTTGTTTGAGTCAATTCGAGTGAGCTGTTGTGCCTGTGTTTGTTAACCGGAACGCTTTTACGTGTACACTAGGAGACCACTGGGGTTGTCACCACGACAGACAATATTTGCTACAAGTTCGGATATTTGATCTAGCGTGGTAAGTTCAACCGTTTCTGATTGTTCCCTTGGCTTGCAAGATTCGATAAGACCAAGACGATTTTGGTGGCTTCGGACATCCAACAACACACTTACTTTCAAAACGTCGAAGTGTTTCGGACGTGCCAGGGACGTCGATGGCAATATCATCACAACTGCATCCGCGTGATCTTCAGTAGGACCGTAAAACCAAAAATTTTCGAAGTTCCTCCACATACACAAGCGATTCCACTAAGTGAGAGAAAAAGGCATCAGCATTAATCGTCAAACCGTTGGGCTTCACATATATGACGAAGCAGATCGTTTAGTTAGCTTGCACATTGAACTAAATGTTGCGGATATCGTTTCTTCCTTAGTCAGCTTCATGGCGGGCTATCTTGATTGATTGTGAAATAGAGGTGTTCCTCTCACCAGCTGACTAACAAACACCAAATTGAACGTCAATGTAGGCTCTGTGCCATATAACTTCATAAAGAGGTTTTGTGAAGTTTTGCCACATAACTGTTCGGAGTCAACCAACTATCAGGACTACTATGGAATTTACGTGCAACAGCCTCAACGAACACTCAAATAGTATAGTTACGGAGTATGTGTTCCTGAAATGAATCGGTCAGTTCTGATCGCGAAAGTGATACACCTTTTGGATTGACAAACCTTTTTACCAAATTATACACTTACTCATCCCTATCGGTGCTTTTAACAAACTAAACTAGAACTGGGTTTCTTCCTTTCTGCCCGCTTTCGGCTACAAACGACTATTAGAGATTGGTCTGAGTCCAAAGTCCGGAACTTAAGCATATACTCATGGTCTGAAAAGTGCTTCAACTTGACTAGTATTCTACTCAAGATGCAAGTAGATAAATTACGTTGAATATATCCGACATGGGTTTATCAATTTACTATGAGAGTTAATAATAAACTGATGGTGATGAAATGCATGATATGGGAACATGTAAGTCACGTGCCAGATATTAACATATGTTCACGAGCAAGGGAGGTAAAGTACTTGTACTTCCAGCTTGTCTGTCATTCGATTGATATTTCTTCAAGGCTGGCTGGATAAAAAGTGCGGGGAGTTGTCTTGTGTTGCTGCTTGAGTCTAACTTGTTTGCTAGAAGAAAACGGGAAAGGTATAAATGCGTGTTTCATATGCTTTGAGGAAGATTTGCAGATGTTGTGAACGCAGTAGATCAATTGCAGCTAAACGGAGCGGAGGATGGAGGGTGAAGGCCATGAATCACAAAATTCCCTGATAGAATTGAAATGGATTAGACGCTGTGGTTTTTTCTTTGTTTCCACTATCAAACGATGTGACATGTGGAGGATTGGACTGTCAAGCGCTACAGCAAATACAGTTCTGATGGTTGAACAATGAAATTTTGAACAAAGAACTGTGTACTATGAGTGTGAAATTTGCTGGCATTGTACGTTTTTCGTGCCATACTTGTGACGATGATGGGCGTACGAGCCAGTAAGCAAGCAAGCTTGGCGGCGGGAATAGTTGTAGGTTTTTTATGAGCTCTCGCTTGCTTGTTCAAGGAAATCTAAAATAAGATACTATCTAGGATACTTTTCTTCTAATTTGGCATTGTTGTATACAGATTAAGATACATGTCTATTGAGGTTGTAATAAAACGGATGTTCTCTCAAGACTTCGTAGTGAAAATCCTTGACCGCGGGGTTTGTAACACCTGTAGTTGTATGTTTGAATTATTGGTAGGAATATACTAAAGAATTATCCATGATTAGATTATTCATGACTAAGTTTAGCTAATTATGATTAAGTCTAATTTTCAAATTTCTAATTGGTAGAATAATTAAAAAATTCTAGAAATTATGATTGATAATCAATATTTTATCTCATATCAAAGTCTAGATTATAAGGAGAGATAATTTTCACTATGTGTTAGTTTTGATTGGATTGACAAAATAATATAATTTTCATTGGTTAGATCAAATTTAAAGTTAACATGGTAGCAAGTAGAAGTTTCTAGATCTTAATGACATTTGACATCTCAACTCAATAACTAATAAATTTCTAGAAGATTTAGATATACCAATGACATATTGTCACATTTAATAATTAATTATAACTACCAAAACTTATCTTACTAAGAGTAAGTTAAATGATAATTACAATGTACTACTATAGTAATTTCTCAAATAGTAAAATAGAGAAACATAGAATAGACTTTCAAGCATGTTTGAAGATTTTATTGTTTCATCAATAGAATTTTGATGAAAATTTCAACAAACTTTCATTGATTTTACAAATCATCTTTGAGTGTCGAGGAGTGATGGACTTGAATGATGAGTGGAGAAATTATGTGAAAGCAAAGTTAAGACGCGGGCATGTAGATGGATTTTGCCTTCTAGAATCATGATAAGCTCTAAAATACCATATGAAATATCCATGAGTGAGAATCACATCGAAAGTCAACGGTATCAATGATGCAAGGAGATTTTTGACACTCTACATGTTTCTTCCTACATGTAGAATGAAACATATGTGCATTTTGTTCCGATTACTATGGCTCTGATTATATAAACATTTGGTATGGAAGAACAAGACTTAGCTTCAGAATAAGATTTGGCAAGATGATGCAAAGTTCTTATACCTTTCCTTTGAGGTGCTAATCTTTGCTTCCAACACATTTTTTTGTTTGAAAGTAGAACGTTTCTCTTGATGAAAACCAAAGTTTTATCTCTATATTTCTGTCACGTGAATCTTCCAACATCTATTTATATTGCTAGGACGCTAATAAAAAACTCAAATTTTAGAAAGTTGGCACAGTCTCCAAGTTGAGAAAAGTCTACACCGTCATTCTTATTGTTAGGGACATAACATAATAAGGATATTATTATGTGATTTACTTTATTATAAACTTCTAAAAGGAAAACTCTCATCAGTAAAAGTAGCTAAAGATAGAAGACAAGAAAATTACCGAGATAGAAGATGCATGTTCGAATATGTCGATTTTGCATTATTCTTTGGATTTATTTTCAAAGATTTTGTAAGAGTTGTTAGGGAGTTAGAGACGTGTAAGAACTTCTAAGCCAAGCGGAAAGGCCAAAGAGCAGAGACCTTGTCTTTGGTTGATTCTTTATTTCGTTTCGCCTTTGTACTTTTTTCTCTCATGACTCGATATATCTGGAATACGTGATAACTTGCCACTAAAGTTTTCATGTGAAGTGTGCATGTCTTGAATCACTACGTTGATGTGTATACGGTGGGCGGTTGGACGCAAGTGCAGTCCCACGAGGAGTTCTGAGAACGCCTCCTAGGAAGAATGTTCAATCCGAGGTGAGAGGACTTTTTCGACCGAGCAAAGGAAGATACGTCAGAAAGATAGCACAAAACTACAATCCCCAAAGCACGCCACACTATAAGAATTTTCTGGAAGAATCGTAAGAGTCGTAGGATACAGGACTCAGAAGAGCAAGACCTCAAGCGTCTCCCTTGGACTCAAATCTCTTCGGTCGCACTTCAAAGTCATGATTATGCAATTGACATGTGAACAATGACAGACATCATTCCTACGTAGAAGGCCTAGTTCCAGATGAGAGTTTTCGCAAGCATTAGGTCCACCCGCATAAGTCACGCTGTCTACAGAAGAAGCATTCCACTGCAATTGATACCGAGTATTGCTAGAACAACGTTCATTGTATGTAGAGGGCAGTCTTTTATGGGGGAGTACGTAGTACACGTGGCCACCAGATGCAGCTTTCAGACTGTAGGGCTGAGCTCCGTATACCTTGCCCACTTCCGTTACGTGTCACACGAATCTCGGAGGACTACAGTAGTGATACGCATTATAGTTATCCGACTGCTCCGAGCATTTGATTCCACGTGAATCTAATCAATCGCGCGCTTAAGATTTCTCAAAGAACCTATTTTGCCTCGACATTTATTTGGGCTCGATTGACTCGAGCAATTCAGATGGTTTCGAGCTAATTTCTTTTCATCTTAATTTGTTTTTCTTTCACTAGTATGTGGCACTTATACACCTAACCCATTCTTTCAAACTTTTTTTTTTTCAATAACAATTCCTCTAGCAGAACAGCAGTACTGGCGAACAATAACACAATCTTTAAAACCATCTCATTCCAAAAACAAGGTCGCTTGAAACTTCATTATGAGGTAGAACGGGGTGTTTTGGCAAGTCCAGACATATCTTATGCACTTTATGTACTGGGTTTAGAACAGCAAAGGGTGTTTGTTGTTACGTAACGTACATGTTCGAAAACTGAAGAGATCTGATAAAGCATGATTCATGAGGTTGAGATTTAATGTTTCTACTACATCATTATCACATAGTTGTGTGGACTTTTACATTTCTTTCAAGATAATTACTATCTATATCTATTTGTTATTTCTGAACGCATTTCTGCATCGACAATGTACAGTGTGTCACGTAGAGAAGGCACATTCTCAACTTTAGATATGTATCGCTAGCCACGACTAATTTCCTTGTGTACAGTACAGCAGGATGATACAATTAATGTATAGCAACAATTCCGACAATTGAAGTCTGAGATTTTTCTAGATATATGGAGTGTGGGGTATACGTGCGGGATAATTGGAGAGTCAACTAAAAGAAAAATAAGCTTCGACTAGTATCTAGTCACAAGTGAAAGTTAGAAACATTTGTTCAGTCCTTAATCCGAAAATCTTATCTATATGCACTGGTGAATGAAAATAAGAATAAAATCCTTCAACTCAAATATCAGGCCATTTTTCTATAAGCATTTCCGTGAACACAATTTTCTCATAATAAGTTGGACGAAAAAAGTGCCTTATATTTAATAGTTTCACAAATTCTTAACTGCTGCAGACTTGATGCTTGCAGAATTCAGCTCTGAAAATTGTTCAACCTACTAGACTAATATCTTTCATGTGCAGTACTTTCAATTAAATTTTATGGCACCATCAGCCAAAATACTCCTATTGATAATTGTGATGAGGTTGCCATCCATATAACCTGCATGGTATCTAACATGTATTTTGGAACGAGATGGCTTTGTTATTTTCTGATTAGTGGGCTCCTCACAGCTTGTCTGTTCGTATTTTTTTCTAGTGCTAGATGTTTGTTCGATATCTAGATTGCAAAAACGCAGGAAGTTAAATTCCTCTGTAGATTGTTGCCTCGTCGTAGTCATCTTCGGATGATATTTTGAATACATATGATAAAACTTTGTTCTCTTCATAATATTCTTCGATTGCTAGGTAGAAGAGAAAAAGTAGACATGATGAATAAATTTATAGAAAAGGTATACCCAATGATTTGGATGAAATCAAGGATGAACATCTGCTGGGCTCCAATAGCATAGCATCATAAGAAAAATTTGCTATGCTTCGCGCAAGATATCCCATCTAAGAAACCTGAAACGGTTTAAAGAATTTCAATTTATTGTTATACTTATACTCTGGATTTTGACAACTAGTGTTCTGTAGACCATTTGGTTACAGGTGTACTTTCGTAGATACTAGACATAGTCAAAATTCAGCACAACCAGTTGATTTGTTACCGTTGTTCAACAGGGCGACCAAGCCACTTAGTGTAAGTCTGAAGGCAGACGTGCAAAGTTCCCCATGTGCAGATATCAGAGTAGAAGAATTGTAAACAGTAGATGAAACCAGTCGGATCATATAGGTTCATGTCACGAGTCAACGGATATTCCACTCACTTTCGCTTTACCCTCCCCAAGGTCCTCATCGAGCAGCACATGAATTATCTCTAACATGTGGGCAACAACATATTCAATATGGTTACGTGGATGGCCCGATTGGGCAGAGAAAAACGGCTTGTCTTCTAGTCATTATCTTCTGCCACGTTTCAAATTTCTATTTTCATTTTTCTTATGTTGGCTGCGGAAGAGAGAAATCATTTGAGACAGACGAATGTCGGTTTCATCAGAGGAATAGATATATAAGCCTCAACTCTGTCACAAGTATTCTTTATAAGCTTGTCGAGGTTTGTTGGTGACAATCTCAACAGAAAAATTCACTTCGCACATTTCCGCACGAATTTCAGCGATAAAACTCAGAAGGCCTTGCTCTTGGACCATGGGCGTCCTCACGATGGACTGTCAAGATTATGACAACCTCGGATCGCGACCTCGATGTAGAACGCGCAGAGTCAGATCATCATCAAGAAAGCAGCGGTCTGGAAAGAGTCAGCATGGCTCTAGGAGAAGGGAATGCGACAATGTGAAAACGTCTCTTGTCAAGTTTCGAGACACGAGCGTGCTTTTGATGCCGAACGCAGGTGGGAGGCTTGGGTGCTTGTTAAATCAAATCAATCAGCAACTGGAGCAGCGGAGTTACTTATGGTCGTCTCTGTTGCTGTTTCCGACAAAGGAAGGCTTCCGAACGCTGCATCAAATACAAGCTCGCCGTCATAAGGCGCTGCTCGCTCTGGCTTATGACCTTGATGAAAAGGATAGATCTCACAACAACCGGGTGAATTCAACTGGTTCGTCTTCGAGCAAGAAATCCTCAGATGAAACTATTGATTTACAATCAGAATTTTTGCAGATGTCCATACAAGGTTAGCTTGTGTTTGCTCGGTTCCTAGACAGATTCATCAATGATTTATGAGATGCTCAAAGATTTCAAGTAGCACGGGAGTTCATTGCGTCCAACAGTTGTACATACAAAGGACTACTAGGGGGTTGTCGAACCCATAACAGATACAAAATGCCGCTCAGCAGTGCTGCTAAGTTGCAGAAAACTTGAGCGGCATACATTGTGTACATCAGAACACGAGTCGACTTAATGTAGTCAACAGTCTATACTGGCAAAATTCCAGTATGAAAATATTCAAGATGATCAGCATCTTTAGTTTATTCTTCCCGGAATGATTGTCATATGTGCATCGTTCAGGCTTGTAAACATTGTGAGAATCAGTTTGTTTCAGACCTTTTTGATATGTGAGCCAATAGTCTGTTCCTAGTGAAGAACATGACACTTTAAGTCAAGGTGTTGATTGTGACGGTGTAGAAACAGAGTTCCTCTAGTTGCCCTGTATAATCTTGGACTTATTGCAACGGCCTCGGCAATCATCAGGGGGGCGCCCCTCTCGTCACTAAGGGCTCCTAAAAAATGAGGGAACTCGCGTTCCCTCATTTTTTAGCTCTGCCCGCCCGGGCTTTCCCCCCGCAGCCCGACTAGGGATGGCCGCCTCCCGATCACTCCACTTTCTCTTTCCCGTCCCTTCGCAACATGTCTGCGTCCACTGTTCTGCCAATGCCAGTCACCGAGTCTGGGAGGTCCTACCACCGAGTGAGCCCTTAGTGACGAGGGGGGGTAGAGATGTCAACCATCCGAACCGGTTCGGCCTTGGTAGCGATCTGATTGGAACCGGTTCGGCCACGTCCCCGATCAGATTGGAACCGGTTCGATGTCGAACCGGTTTAACCCGGGTCAAACCGGTTCGAACCGGTTCTGGAACAGGGTCAGCATCGGATCTATATGGAATAATCAAACATGGAATCCAAAACTAAATTACCGACTAGAATCAAATACGACAGTCGACATGTTTGAAGACAGTTGCTGTCTTGACAGCCGAGTCGGCTGAGCCGTCGTCGGTTGCGACGGTTGAGAAGTCGGCTGAGCCAATTCGGAATTGCTCCAACCTTCTGCAGACTGATGAGTTATAATGGAGTTGCATTGGTACTGCTGCACTATTAATATATGAAGGCTTGGGCGCTAAGATTACCAGTCGTGACGGGAATTGCGCGCGTGACTACTGTTGCCGATCCGACACCGGCGTGTGCGGGTGTGCCGGCGCCCTCCCTCATAGTGGCAAGTCGTTCTCGCTTGCTATCGTCAATCATCCGCGCCAGTCCAGGAATCGACATCGTCACGCACTTCAAGGCGCAGCACGGTAGGTGGCCTCGACATCTTCATTGACATCATGAGCGCTGCGGAACTTCCGCAGCGCTCATGATGCGGTTCCGCGGTTCTTCCGCAGCGGAAGAACCCATTGTCGTCTCAAGTGACGATGGCAGCGAGGATTTTGACTCCGATGATGAGCAGGAGCCGCCGTCTGACGATGAGCAGGATGCGGCGAGCAAAGCTGCGTCTGCATCCTCGACGAGCGGTGGCCGTACACACGCCGACGTTTACAAGCACATCAAGGAGCGTCCGAACGGCATGTTCGAATGCACGCCCTGTCACAACAAGAATGAGAAGCAAGTGTGGCGCAACAGGAGCACATCGAACTTTCGCAAGCATTTGATCAAGCATCACAGCGCCATCTACACGCCGCAGGATCCCACGCAAACGACGTTACGTCATCATGGATTCAAAGGGCAACCAGGCAAACGCAAGACGATGTCTTCGAATGATTTCACCATCGCCGACAAGACTCTCGCCGACAGAGTCCTATCGAATTGGATAGTCAATCACGCTCAGCTGTTCACTGTTGTTGAACACGCCAACTTCGTTGGCGTTTTGCTCGACATTGCGCGGAAGCTATTCGCTGCCAACGCGAAACACGCTGCGCAATCGTGTCATCCAGCAATGGACGGATGAGAAAAATCGCGCCCGCGTGACAATTGAAGATGAATGCGGTACGCGTCGCAGCGGTACAACCAGTGACATGTGGACCTCAGCGGCGAAACGCGGATACATGGTAGTCACCTTGCACAACAATGATAACTGAGATGAACACCTCATAGTCATGAATGGCGTTTGGTAGGTACATGGTGTTCATCTCAGTTATCATTGTTGGATTGGTCGACGCATTGTCCGCTGTGATCGACCACAGACCATAGAGTAGTCTTGGCGACATTTCGGCGACGGCATTAACGAAATGGCTGGCCAGCCTCTCGCCAGAATGCGGATACAGCACACGTTTGAATGCAATTATCACAGATCGCATACACCACTTGTCGTCGATGTAGTGCAAGGTGACGACCATGTATCCGCGTTTCGCCGCTGAGGTCCACATGTCACTGGTTGTACCGCTGCGATTCCTGGACTGGCGCGGATGATTGACGACAGCAAGCGAGAACGACTTGCCACTATGAGGGAGGGCGCCGGCACACCCGCACACGCCGGTGTCGGATCGGCAACAGTAGTCACGCGCGCAATTCCCGTCACGACTGGTAATCTTAGCGCCCAAGCCTTCATATATTAATAGTGCAGCAGTACCATTGCAACTCCATTATAACTCATCAGTCTGCAGAAGGTTGGAGCAATTTCGAATTGATTCAGCCGACTTCTCAACCGTCGCAACCGACGACGGCTCAGCCGACTCGGCTGTCAAGACAGCAACTGTCTTCAAACATGTCGACTGTCGTATTTGATTCTAGTCGGTAACTTAGTTTTGGATTCCGTGTCTGATTATTCCATATAGATCCGATGCTGACCCGGTTCCAGAACCGGTTCGAACCGGTTCCAATCTGATGGGGGACGTGGCCGTACCGGTTCCAATCAGATCGCTACCAAGGCCGAACCGGTTCGGATGGTTGACATCTCTAGTTGAAGAAAAGCTGAAGGATTATGAGGCGTTGGTCAAGCGCAGTGAAGTCATGATTGCCACTGCGTTGGATCCGCGTGTTAAAGGCGTCCTCGTTAACGTTGGGGTCAACGTCGAGGAAGTCATGACGCTGATCACCAACGACTACGAGGCCGAGTACCAGCAGGCCTACGAGGCGAAACGTCAGGTGTTGCAATCGTCGTTAGCGAGGCCGTCATCGGATTCGTTCCTCAACCTGCTCGAGGAGCACGATCAAATCGCTGACGAGCCTTTTGCTGGGGAACTGAACCAATGGATGGCTCACACGCCGATGAACATGAAGCAAAGCAGTCGTGATGTTTGCTCATGGTTTGCGGTCAATCAGGCGATGTACCCGCGCATTCAGCTTATGGCGCGCGACTATCTGGCTCTGACCGCAACGTCAGTGCCGAGTGAATGCGCGTTCTCGCGTGCAGGAACGACTATCAACAAACGTCGTGCTCGCCTTGGCGATGACGCTGTGCAGGCAATATGCGAGCTGCAATCACTACTGGCGTTCAACGCGAAATCTCGACGTCGTGACTGATTATTCGTGAGCGAATGGACCGATAATCGGCAGGACGGCGGTTTAATACAACGTTGTTTAAGAGCGTATGCACCTTTCTACGGACGGTAACAAGCGTGCATTAGTGCATTAACGGTTCTGCTATTTCGATGACGCTCCTCGAACCGGTTCGAACCGGTTCTAACCGGGTCCGTCGCTGGGCCGAACTGATTGGAACCGGTTCGAGCCGAACCGGTTTGAACCGGTTGAACCGGTTTCGACCCGGTTCGGGTCGAACCGTTGACATCTCTAGGGGGGGGGGGGGGGGGGGGCCCTACCACCGAGCTAATAGCGCGTCGTGCAGGTAAACTAGTCATAACAAGGTGCCCATCTGAGCTATAAGATGCAACTGGCTTCTTCAATGGACTCACTACCTACTTTGTTGCTAGGATGTGGGATGGTTCGGAAAGCTTAGTGAATTTCTGATTGGAACTTCATCTTGCAATTGCTACTGACATTTGTTACATTATTAGTCATCGACGCAAAACCCTCCAAGTGCCGTTAAGTTTATACAACTCTGATCATGAGACTGTAAGGATAAGAAGTTGAAGGAGTAAAAAACAAGGCTGAAATGATAATACGAAGTTAATATAGTGAATGATTGTTAATGTTATATCATGTGTTTGAACAAGTAGATCAAAACACATCAATACTTTGAAGCTTACTCCAGATAAGATAACATGTCAAATAGATATATTTGAAGACTAACACTTCATTACACTGAATATTGTTCTCACGGAAAGCTCAGTGTATCAAACTTATCACTGCACATGAACAGATAAAATTAAATAATTTTAGATAATAGTGTTGTGGTGATCATCTATGAAACACAAGTTTGGGGTCCTAGGTGTAAGAAGACAAGTTGGGAGCACGTGGAGAGTATGAAAACGAACCAAACTATGTATGTTATTCTTCTTGTGGAAAAAAAATGTATTCTCTAGAGCTCGAAGTTCTTTACTTGATCACCATTTACATCGCAAGGGTAAGATCTCTTCATGTTTCTCGCCTCCCTTGTCGGGCTTTGCGAGCCACAAGTTCTATAAGGTGGTTAACGGATGTGGTGACTTGGTCTTCACACTGGAATGCGACGTAACGCGATTGGGACTTGAAACCGATGATTTTCGCGAGAATCTACAAAAGAAATTTCACAACATTATTTTGAGCATCCCAACACCAAAATGGAGTTTTATCACGTTTATGTTAATCCTGAAATTGTATATTGTGAACAAATATACTTACTTGCGGAGATCTCCACATTTGTATGTCATAATATTGCTAGACATAGAAATGAATCTCACAGGTTAGGTTTTGAGAAAAGACAATAGTTTAATATTGATGATAGTGAACAAATTTATAAGTTATTTGATGGAAAGATATTGAAGATGAAGATCATGTGTTTATTACATGTCAAATATATTATGAGATTAGACTAGCTCATAAAATATATGTGTAGAATTTCTATTCATTGTTACAAATAGTGTCTTATGATTTGGGTTGTTATATGACAGAACTCATTATTCCTCGCTCAAGTGATATAGGAGAAGATTTAAAAAAAAATTTCCACATCAATGAATGACTCGTAATGTGTTTTTCAATTTTTTGAGCCTTTGGGTACCATGGGCTTGATCTATTTACCATTTAATGACAGATTTTATTTAACTTATGGTGAATATGTAAGTATCCAACTTGAATATGCAGCAAAGTCAATGTACAAGTGTCAAACTTCAAACATGTGATTCGCTCAAAACAATATTATGAATGGTTAAAAACCAAGTAATCAAATCAATGATCTTCAAACTATAAAGAATAATTTCTCTAAATTTTAGGTTTTTTTTAAAATGCTTCATATTCCTCTCAATTTCTTTTATTTATGATCTCATTACTATCATAAACCTTTTCTAATTTGGCTCAATTTACAACTACACTGCAATAGAATGCTACTCCTAAATCCAAAACTTATAGTATTTTATTTTTAGAAAAAAGTATAAAATTTTAATTTGTGACTTTTACTATTAAAAAAGGCAAATAAATTAAGTACATCATTGGAGTTATTTATGAGACCCGGGAGTGCTAGTCTACTCGCATATTGCTATCTAAGCAATTACTTTTGATTAAGAGCTACTAATCAACTGAGGCAATGAAAAACTTTCACACACGATGAATAGATAAAGTATTTTCCTTGAAGAGTAAACACTTGTGTAGTAATTATGTCTCAATTGAAAATTTGAAGTATGGATTTTCCTTTTGAAAAATGCAAAATGAATTTTTAAAATAAAAAAATTGTGATTATATGGCAAAAAGGAAGGTATATTCAAGTCTAGTCACAACTATTTTTTAAAAAAAATGTCTGAATTTTATAAAATATAATTCACATAACATAAATCTATCAAAAGTTAATACTTTTGATTTATTAAAAAGATTCAAACAGAAATTTTATTTTCAAAGAATATTTTATACGTAGATTGCGTAAACTAAGATATTTTTTTTTATTTTAGTATAAGTATGCACAATTTTCACACATTTTGACACCAAAATTATGTCACTAATTATATTTGTAGCATGATATTTTTAGATCAAATATAATTGTCATGTGATGTTTGTTGAATGCAAAAAATACTTGCAAATAATCATGTGTATATAATTATAAGTGATAATCATGTGTCTTTCAATCAACAACAAATCATATGATTAAATTTCATATATGTATCAATATTACACATGTCAATAATAAAGTTGTGAGTGGATGTATAATACCAAGTAAGAATTTTATTATCAAAATAGTGTGCAGCTTAATGTTTGTTCTAAAATATCAAACAAATATTTTCAGGATTGCACAATGATTGTAAAAGAACGTGAATTACTACTTATATTATAAAAAATGATAAAATCTACAAAATATAGATGGCCTATTTAAGAGCAAATAATCACCTCATCCATCATATACGACTATGTCGTATCTTATTCCTTCAGATTTGATGCCATTCATTTTGTTTAGTCGCAATCCTAAGATTGTTGTTTGTTCAAACAGATCTTTTTGTCTACTCACATGACTGTTGGTCTCATATTTCTCCTCTTGTGACTTTATTTTGTCTTAAAATATCAACAAATTGTATCCATTTCAAGAGGATATTTGATTATTTATCAGATTAGAAAATCTTGTTTGAGTTGAACATTGAATTGCCTACTCTCATTGTCATATTCATAAGTCTTGTCAAATCTGTCAAGAATGAAGTGCCAAATATTTTTCAAAATCTTTTCCTTGACAGTTTGTAGATCATGATGCAAGTAGTTGAATACATATAAGTAATTTATTTGGCAAAGCACATTTAGTTTGAAAACGTTTGAATCAACTCCTCGATGAGGTTTAGACTCTATCATTGTTGTTTCTTCTAAGACAATGTATTTACTAATCCATCTTCAAGTTGACAAGACCAAATATCTTGTTGAAGAATCTTTTGAGATTTCCAAGAAGATTGTTTTCGTTATACAGTAATATATGAAAGCTTTGTTATATCCAATACAAATAATTTATTCATATCTAAACTTCAAATCAGTATCATTCAATAAAGTTTGAACATGCTATAGCAAATAATTTTTGCATTTTCACTTGGAAGAAGATTCAATACAACTGTAGTTTTCAAAAGAAATTACAAAAGGTTCAATCCAACATTAGTTTTCAAAAGAATCAGATTTTCAATCACGAAGTATTTTCAAAACTAAATCAAATAACAAGTCTAAAAAATGTTCAATTAATTCGATTTTTTCTTTTATAATTTTCTAGTCTAGATTCAAGAATTAAAAAAAAGCCAAGTTATGTAAATAATTTTTCAGATCCACAATCAAAATTATCAAGCCTAGTGCTTAAGACATCATACAACAAGAGGTTTATTAGAAGAAAAAATAAAGAAATAAAGATCATTAGATTTGACAACATCAACAAGATGATTTGTGATAGGAGTTATTGAATATCTTATGCTACCTCATCTTAGTAGGAATGTGATATAGGTTTGATTAAATCATAAATCTTTAAGTCCTGTCACTAGATAAGAGAGCGCACAAAAAATCCTAAAAATATTACCAAGAGGTCACAAAAGTTCTTGGTGACATTTTTTGGGGTTTTTTAAGGGTTGAGGTAGTTTCTTCTACATATTTCAGTGTGTTGTACATTTTCAATTTTTTTGTGATTTGTCATAACATTTAATATTAAACCGTGGAGTTGTTTGAACAAATTGCATAATGAAAGAATGACAAGGAATTTTTTTTGACGCTTGACACATATTTCTTGCATTGTTATTGATGGCGAGGTGAAGGGCTAGTCCAACTACTACTCTAGCTCCATTTGACGAAAGTCTAGAATTATGGATCTTGTAGGGCTAAACATTTCAATGAACATAGTTTGTTGGAATGAACCACATGTTTTTAGTGTAAGTGTGTGATTTTATTTTTCACTTGTCCTGAGATTTTTCATTACAATTAATATTAATGCGTGAAGATCTTTGGACAAATTGCGTAGTGGAAGGATAACAAGGAGTTTTGTTAAGACGTTTGACACACAACCCTTGCATTGCTGTTGCTCTCTTGCATAAGAGAGCTCATAATGAGATGAAGATCTAGTGTTGATACTACTCCAATTTCATTTGGCAAGATTTTAACATTGTGGATCTTACAGGGTTGAGTATCTAAATTGAAGAAATGCCATGAAAAATAAGCTTAAGAAGGAAGAGTATGTTGATGTTTTGAAGCTGAAAGCAAGCACGTCAGCGCTTTTGTAAATTTTTTAGAAAAAAATGAAGGAAGCAGAGATTGAAAAAAGAATAGTACGTCATGATGCAAGAGTATTGGCAAATGAATCAACTTTGCTACAAGAATATTTTTAATGAAATTTTGCAAAGTGAAATTTTTTATTTCTTGTATGGTGTGTTTTTTCTTCTAGAGTTGAACAAAATTGTATACATTAATTCATGTACTCCACCATCCAATCCACTTATAGTGGTTTGATAAAATGACAAATATATCTATCAAACACTTAAAGTGGTTACGTGTTGTCATCAATTAACACATTAATTTTCTATTTACTAAGCACAAGGATTTTTAAAATAATGACTATAAATAATTCATTATAATGCAACTCTATCTTAATCTTGAGTAACATGTACTTTAATTTTAATTAATTTGAGATGATTGTAAATCTCACTCCTTAAAGAATGCAACATCATTTTTGCTCATATGTTCAAATTCTTGAACCATAAAAGATGGATTTGCTAGATTTGTAATTAGAATCCAAGTTGATTCATATGATGAATAACTTAATGAATTTAAAAAAATATTTGGGGATATTTATGATCTCGAATCCGAATTTTGAATAATTTTTTGGTCTCAAATTTCTCATGACTAACTATCAAAGTTGGAAAAGTAGATGCTATTAGTTGGTTGAAAGATTGTTTTGATAGTAATACATGTTTAAACAATCATGATACATATAAAATACAAGATATTTTTTGTATATAAAGGAGTTTCTAACTTGTATGACACTTTTCTAAGATATTTCAATATCATAAAAGCACAAACAAATCTAGGGCTAAATTTTGACGTTTCAACCAGAGAAAATTTCTTTGTACATAATCAAACATGATTCCTAATCTCAAACATCAACTATCTTCCATGAGCATCTCTATGGTTGTATCTAAATGTTTCCTTGTCTCAATGTAAACCTTTATACACATGCTCCACACAATTGTTGACTATCGATATTTTGATCAAATTTCTCTCCTTTTGAAAACCTTATCAAATTTGATGGAGTTACGTGATGAAAATCTTATATAAGGTAAATAAAGACATCTGTATGTCAGCATTAATGAAATGTTATATGTAAATTTCAAAATTTTGTTGTTGTTTTTTTGTTAATGCTTGTTGCAAATACTCTAGATTTTTATTGATTTCTTCCGTCTTAATATCAATTTGAGTATGATAGAACTTTGACATTGCAAATTATGTTTTCAGGAAAACTTAATGTGGGATAGAAAAGAATTGGAAAAAGGAAATGAAAAAATTTGTATAGAAAAACCAACGGAACTAAATCTTGGATAAAAAATAGCTGAAACAATTTAAGAGAACTGTTTGAAACGTAAAAGGTGTGGAAGTAAGTCTTGGATAGAAACGAGTTGAAGAATTTAACCAGAACTAATTTCCGAATTGCATCTACAAGAGAAATGCAATTGGGTTTATGGCGATTAATGAAATATTGCGCAGATGCAGATCGGGACGAGATAACTACAGTATTGATGTTAGTCGATCGCTGACGTGGGATCCGAATAGATTCTTTTTGTCCCGTCGCTTTTCGTTCACTTGCTTGTGGGGTAATCGTGAACAGGAAAAAGTGGAACAAGAAGAGGATATGCATCAAGTCCGTAAACTTGTGTGTGTGTGTGCGTGTGTGATCGACAAGACTTTTGAGCCTTTAATCAAAAGTGCTTCCGTGGCCTTTTAGCGACTCCATGAGTTATTGGTGCAGAAGGCAAGATGATGAACGATTGCTACTAGTCTACTGCATGCGAATGCGCAGGAAAGTGTGCGTGATTGTCCGCACCGCTATCGGTATTAGAAATAGTTCGCAAGAAAAGCTGGACTGATCTGGGATGGTCAAAGCATGTCAGTATTGTGGGTGGGGCATATTGGAGGATCTTCGAGGCATGTTTTGATCAGAGGTGGTTTCCGTTTTCTCTGTTTCGGCATGGCTGAGGAAAGGAAGAATTTAAGCGGTGGGCTACTGACAAGTGAAATCGGCACAGGATTCTAGAACTTGTTTACCTGGTGCTCACGAGAGTGCGGAGAAGTGCAAGAAACGGTCAATTATACTTCGCGGTTGTCTGCTCGAGGTTTACATCACAGACTTGCCCTGGGTTGAGTACTTTGCGTTGTGGACGATGGCAGACAGCTACATTCTCACAGCTTTGAATCCTCTCCTTTGCAGTTGGAAAAAGCCTTCCACCTGCTTTTCCGGCGCTAGTGTCACCCGGACACCCACCCAGATTAGATCTTCCATACTTTTCACGACTGAGAACAGAAGAATTTCCAGTCCAATTACTACTCCTTTGCTCAAAATTTGGGGCAACTTTTCCAGTTGCCGACACTGGTCCGTTCAAGGTCGCAAACCTTGCCAACAAGAATTCGTCACGGCGATTGCTGCCTCTTCAAGGGAGTCGGGTGCGTTCGGTGCAGATGACAACGAGGGGTTCAAATGGTCGGGATATAGCCCAAAAGATGGAAATGGTCTGTATCCATGGGATCCCTCTTGGGATTCAATTACCCTGGACGGTAAGCGGCCAATTCATATAATTCTAGCATACCATCTTGCCTAAGAAAATTGTATCTGTTGTATGAGTTTGTAAGAGGAGAATCAGATTACATCCTTCATGCCTTCTCCAGTTCTCGCCACGTGGTCAAACGCGCATGGTGTATTTTCTCTGCATTTGGGGTGTGGGCAGTCTGAACGATGAATACACGAGATATATATCTAATCTGATCACCAAGAAAAGGCGAGAGTTTTTGTTTTTTCTTTGTGTTCTTGGTCAGAATATTCAGGAAAGGGAGCAGCAAGGAACTTGACTGAACAGTAATGAAGGTTGTCAGGCTTTTACTCTGTAGGCTTCAAATCTACATAATTTCTTTTGCTGGCTGTCGTAAGGAGAAACCTTAGGGTTCTTAATTGTAGAAAGACTCTTGCTAATGTATGTTCTCCATGGACATGTTTGAATTCAGATTTACAGTGGGTTCAGGAAGATGTTGTTACGTTGTTCACCTCCGAAGGTGTTGTGAGGATCGGAGGTTCGCGGCTTACAGCACGTCGGGCTTCAGTGACTGAGGTGAATGTTCATCTGATTAACACCTGCTCATGTCTGCCCCTGCTTGTCTCTATTATAGGGCGTTGAGAGCATCTTTTCAATTTCGACTCATTCAAGTGCCAAAGTCCTTCGCATATAGAAAGGCCAAAAACAAAAGGCAATGTATAAATTGGACTCTCTTTATGCCCTCGTTTTCCTTTGAAGACCATAGATCCCTGACTGGGCGGTTCCAAGAAGGAGAGAATCCATGGGGAAGACGGGATAGAACTGTGTGGGAGAGATAAGACGACTTGAGATCAAAGGGAGTTTCTCTTGTAGTTGGACTTCCCTTCTGTTGTTGAGACTTGTTCTAAGTTTCCGTCTTTGATCTTCGCTACATCGTACTAACTCATTGACCCAATGAATACTAATTCCAAGTATCTGTGACTTAGATAGTGCGGCTGCGTTGAACTTTGAATCGAGGCTTGTAAATAACTGCTTGCTCGTTTTTCCAAATGGTCCATTTTAAAGGGACTACCAACGTGGAAGTTGGTAATACCCTTGAAATCCGTATGCCATTCCTCAGTAGCTCTTTGGAGCTTCTTTTTCACATAGTTCTCACGGACAGCCTTCTAAAACATCAATTCTGAGGTAAGTGGACAAACACATAGCATAAGCTATCCATCCAAGTCTCCATATATAGTCACTTCCACACTATGCAATTTTGAGTGCTAGAAGACCCAAGTTTTGAAGCTTTATACTGTTTCTTCTAGTCCAAAGAATAATTTGGCAAATCTTCAATGCGGGTACAAAAGTCACCCCTACACAAATGCTCCTCACTCTCTTCTTTTGTTTCATGTACTAGATATACGAATATGTAGAACTGTCTTGGCTGCAGGGACCAGCCTTTTGCTACTCTCGATTGATGTTAAATGAATTACTCCTCAGAAGTTGGAGCTTATAAGCATGTGGAAGGTAGATTTGTACACTAACAGGGCACATGAAACGCGTAAACAACTTAGACAAGCAGTTTGTTGAACATCAGAAGAGCAGGACGTTAGTCGTATCTCACAAGGTTTATGCCAGCACACCTCAAGATCTTGAGGTGTAGTCAAAGTTTCTGGATTTTGATTCGTTTTGGTACCAGCAAAACGAATCAAAATTGTACTGCTTGTCGCTTTTGTAACTTTTTGAGAAGCACAAAAGAACGTTCCAAAGTACCATGTTTTTGTGGGTACTTATGTGGCCCTTCGCCAAAACAGAAGGGGATAGTGTGAAGAGTCTTGGTTGGTATTGAGTTGAGCACCAATGAAAGTGACGAAATTGCAAAAGGATGTCGTGAATGCTCATAGCAGCAACTTAAAGGAAGACAGTGATGGTTTTAACTTGTAATGACTGCTAATGGATGTGTCAGCTCAATTGAGAATTAATAACAGAAACATTACCAATAACCCCTTCGGTTCAAAAGACTCGTTTTAAACGTAAGAATTTGCAACCATTGGGTGATTTTCAGCTCATAGACAATCATCCGGATGTTTCAGAACAAGCAGTTGAGCAAGCTAAGGCGCTATCGTGAGGAAGACTACATGGATCCGAAGCAGGGTTTGTGTCTCGGGGCTATATTTGATATTGCTGCGACAAATGTAAGTATTTCTCGTCAAAGCGGACGTTGAGCTTGAAGAAATCAAAGAGTCAAAATCTATGTCTTAATATAGCTTTGTCGGCTCTTCTTAAACGAGGACATCAACACTCAGTTGCAATTCGTGATTGTTTTTGGCGCAATGACAATCTTGACTTACAGCCAATCGATTAGAAGAGACCTTCGGCTCCACATAATAACAAGGATGAGGTGACTAAGATGCTTTAAAGAATGGAACTGAACTTCATGCAATCCTTTTTCTTAACTTGAATATGCAGTTGTTTCTGAAAGCAAACTATCTGATACTTTGTTTGTTCTATTTGTCTGAGATGAATATTTAGCAATACGCATGTTAGGTTTGTCGAAGGTTTTTGCGCTTTAAGGCTTATGTGGGCAACCCTGACATGATCATATTTGTACTGCAGGGGTTGGATATGAGTCGACGATTTTGCGTCTTTGGTTTCTGCCGCTCCATCGAAATGTTAAGTGACGTCGTAGAAGACACTGTTCTAGAGCTTGGTGGCGAGGTATCCTGGTCGTCTTTTGTCAATAGAACTATTTTATGGTCTCTTAGAGAAGGCTATTACAGGAAGATACAATTATGTGCAGTTTGCAAGATGGCCTCTAGGTCATAATGGTTGTCTCCGCTCATTAATATTCTTTTGTTTTCATTGTAGACTTGACTGGAAATGGATATATGTGTTGCAGGTGCTAGTTGCCGAGAAAGAGACATCCGGAGGTCTGCATGAAAAGCTTATTATGACTGTTGCAATGCCTGCTCTGTGGGGAGTACCACCGACTGTTGACAAGCTAAATTACGCCATCAGGACTGGTGGAGGGATCGTTGAGAAGACATACAAGAAGTGGGAGTTTTTTTGATGTACATATTTAACTCCAAAAGTCCTACAGTAGATTGTTTTCTCATGTAATTGTAAATTTGACTCACATTTGTCATGGTTGCAGTGTCTGCAACAATGACTTGAGGCTGGATAAGTGTAAGATACCTAAAGTCCGGGCCTGTACTTTGAAACTTGGATTGCTTAATTGGCAAGCGTCTGTCAGTGTAAATTTGTACAAGTTTGTAACTCATAAAAACATTGATTAAAGCCTTCACATTTTGAAGGCTTGATAGAGAGGGGTTTGACACATTCTTTCTAACATTGATTTTTATTGTCATCTGTTGTCATTTCGTGGATAGAGAAGGAAATAAAGAATTGGGTAGTGTGATCTTAACAAAATTGCTCACTCTGGGATGGAATGTACCTGTAAGAACATCATTTATACTTAGCATTTTGGAATATTGGAAGCGTTCCATGTTGCATGTTGGAATGTTTGCACAGTTGCATAAGGTCTTTCCATAGTTGAACAAAGTCGCAAAGACCGTTACGGGGTACGGTCTGAGATGAATAGATCATCATGATTCTTTCACCTAGATTACCTTTTTTAGATTAGTTCTCGAGAATGCTATTAGTAACGGTCTGAAGTGATTACTACAGTATTTCCAATGGCGGTGTTCTTCAACAGTTCGATGCGAATCTGACATGTCTCAGACTTTACCAACTTCAGTTGCTCGTCGTGACCCTCAATTGCCATTTGACAGTCTGTTGTCACTAGCGATATTTTTGATGCTGACATAGGTTCAACTTGTATGTCTAGCTTAAACTCCATATGGACATTTGGAATATCCAAAATCCATGTCTTGATCTAGTCACCAACTTCGCTCATTTTTCTGAGAACATCTAAGATCTCAAAGGTGATGGATTTCTGTCGGATGTTGTTTTAGGTCTTCAATGTAAACTGCTAAAACTAGACAACAGCGAGTGACACTCCTTCAAAATGAATGTGGGTTATGAGGGATTAAGCACGATCCACAAGACAACCTGAACGTATGAAACATGCAGAATATTTTCAGAAGATCTCGAATTCTGCTTAGTTGCGAAAAATGGGGAAAATAAATACAAGAAATTTCGTAGCAGAAGCATCGAGCTGCAAATCAACAATTGTAGTAGTTGTGGAGACCTAAAAATAGATACGATTCGTAGAAACGTTATAACTGATTCTATTCACAACTTTTAAAAAGAGTTACTAAGTCCGGACGTTGTGGTGACCCCCAAATCTACAAGAGAAAGGGATAAGGTACCTTGAAAAGACAAATGTGCAGAATAACACTGGTTTCTAAGCATGAATACGTAAGTTTATAAGATCAAACTAGATTTCACATTTGCTTAGAGTCAAACACTGAGGCTTCATTGTTTTCAGCTTCTTATACCTCTCATCAGTGAACTCTGAACTTGTTCCTTTTCAAAATGATGGGATCTCACAAGTTTTCTTAAGGTTCGAAGTGATACTTGTCCATCTGTTTGCTCATCGTCTTCTAAGCAGCAATGTGGAATTAGAGGAAGTTTCATGAATGTTACTCGGTAAAACGAGGTCACTTTCCAAATAACTTTTTTGGATGATGAAGTTGGATAAATTTTAATTTCAAATCGTCAGTGGTGTGGTAAGTTTCATAAACTGATAGTTTTCGAAACTGCTCAATAACATTGACTCTTTACTAGTGTGATTTCTTTCTGGAAGTAATTTGAAGTTATAAAGCTTAGGACTTTAGATTGAGTATGATAACTTGATACGAATTGGATAATAAGTCTTGCAAGAATTTAAATTTGTTACTTTCAACTTGTATTATAGATTTCTTTTCTAGCATGATTTGAATAAAGTATAGATTGGCTTGTGGTTCCAACAAAACAGTTTTGTATTATACTTCTATAGTTTGTAAACAAAAAATTTAGAAACATTGAAATAGTAAAATCTCAAATTCATTTGAAATTTTCATCATTTTGTAGCTTAAAATAGCACTGGAAGTAGGATAAAAAATGATCTATTCATTGATAATGACGTTAAAAGAAAGCTATATAAAATATCTGGTGCATAGTAACATAAAACTTTTGTAATTAATAGGAAAACAATAGACTTTATATTCAAATTAAGCTTTTTAACAGACTAGTTATATATTAATACATCTTGTTCTTTGGTATAATATTTAAGTGCATTCAGCCACCATCATGTCAAACTCAACATCCATACTTACATATAAATCCAATATATTACAGAATTATGGAATGAATGTAAAAAAGTTAAAAAATGACCATTCTGCATACCCATGTACTTGAAGACCATGGCTCAACTACTAAGCTTGTCGCCAATTAGTAAGACGGGTAATCACCATTCAAAATTCTGCCATGTTTATGACCACTAAATTCAACCGTAATTTGGTCTTCTTGAATCAAATGTAGACTTGTCTTCAACATAATAGATTTCAACATGTTTCAAATTTTCACATGACGCGTAGGTGTGGACCAACGTGTCATGTGAAACGTTAAGCTTTATATGTGATGATAAAATTCAAGTCTCTTATGATATCAAACATAGGTAGCCTCTATCTTCCAAAAAATCATCATAAATTAAGCATTTTTTAATCTAGAGTAATTTCACACTCTGCATGTGAGAAATAAACACGTGGAAAAATGGATTTATAGATTGAAATTCAATTGAAACCTCATTGATGTAGTAGAATGTGGTAGCGTAGTTTTTTATTTTTTCGAAAATCATGAAGTTTGGGAAGTAAAGACGAGCAACTTCAAACTTTGAGAACAGTAGTAGTAAGAAGAAAAGTAAATAAGGAATTTTGGAGTAGATTCTGAGTAGCAGTAGGGGATAGACAACATTTGAGTAGGTAGAGCTCGGCGTGCTCGTTTCAATGAGCCCAAGAACGTGGGAAATGAACAAGGGAACCCTGAGCTGCAAAGGGATGCAACGGAGACCCTGCTTCTACGAAGGCCTATGACAGTCTTCGGCGAAGATTCTTTGTACTTCAGTGTTAGTGTCTTTGGAATTACCTACGAAGTATCTAGGGTAAAGGATTCTCGGTGAAGTAAAAGATGGCGCAGCACGGGAAAGAAATTCAAACCTTAGTACTTGCAATTCGCGCGCGTCGGCAATGTTGTTAGGGCAGCAGATTACACCAGGAGGAGCGCGAGCTCAACGGCGACATTTCACGAGAGTGCATTCGCAAACTGAGAGCACAACGAGATCTATGAGTGAGAAATTGCGGAAGCAGCGATGGGGCGAATTGGAGGAATTTGATTGTCGATCTTGAAGGTACCAAAATGGAATTGAGAGCTTATCGTAACGAGCTCATCGCTGCCCGACTTGATTTCCTATTGTGGGGCTACAACTGGGTGTGCGTGGTGATGGTGCAAGAGTGGCATGACAATCTCGCGCCGGATGCTAAGGGACTCTGAAGCAATCCCGCACTCTGGACAATTGACATTTGGGAGAAGATCATGGAACTGTGCGTAGGGGAAGATGGAGATGTCACCTTCGATAGCGAAAGTGTGAAGATGACTCGAGCGGAGGAGAAGAAGTACACGCCGCTATTCAAGAAACCGCGTTCGGACAAGAACGGATACCGAACGACGAGCTATCATGATAGATTGCAAAGAATTGTGGCAGTGGCTCTAATGCAGATACTTTAATCCTCGCGTACGACCTACATGACGACATGGCAGGTCGGATTCGTCAAGCGCGCATTAGCAGGACAGCGTATTCACTAGGTGCAGGTTTTGTGATTCACAACGCGTCAACACATTGATGAATCATGGGAGGATCGATGAATTACTTATTTCTATTCTTTATCAATTTCTGCAGAGGTATGGGGTTATTGACCGAAGTTTAGCAGAAGCGATTTTTGCTCCATACGGAGTCAGTGGACGGAGACGAGACGCTGGAAGGCAACGAGGTTGACACAGAGGAGAATGACACTAAGCTCGTGTTGCCTTTGGCGAGAATTGACAAGTCAGAAGACGACGTTGGGGAACGGCCGCAGAAGAAGCGGATATTACATCGAGTCGCAATTTCGGAAACGAATGATCAACGTGCCAAATTTGCATTTGGAGGCCAGTTTCCACAAAGCTTAGGTTGGCGAATGTACGTGCTTGCAGCAAGAATGAAGGCACGGCTTACGCGGATTGAGGAAGAACATAACATCGAGTGCAATGAAGCCGTCTCTCAAGGCCAAATCACTTTGGCGGAATGGGCGGAGATAGAAGCAAAGATCGCCGACATGAAGGAAGATGGAACTACGGCGGAGGGACTTCGGAGTGGAGACCTTCGGCAGTTCCAGTGGAAGATTTGAAGAAGGAAGTTGAAGAGTAGAGAGTTGACACCGAGGTGGAGACCTCAAACCAAAAACCAGGGACTTGGGGCCAACCCATTGTTTACACGTCTTCGGGAAAGGTAAGTTTGGAGGTACCAATGGAGCTAAAGCCGGCGCCTTCGACTCAGGTGACTTCAAGTACAGTCGACCTGGACAATGACGAAGATCCTTTGGCGGAAGAACATAAATTGGTCGGACTTAGTGCATCGGACATGCTGAGCAAGCAAGTTATTCCTTTACATAGGTACCTGAACGGAAAATTGGAGAAGTATGCGGAGCCATCAATCACAAGATTCTACGTGGAGTTAGTGTGTTAGTGTGTAGTAGGATGCGAGCGAAGGTGGCACCATCTGTAGAGGCAGCCAAAGGAGTAGAGAATTTGACCTCTAAGTGAGCGTCGGTGAGGATTACTCTAAAGAAGAAGGAGAAGCGACTTTGAAAGTCGGAGTGTGCTGAACTCCATAAGAGTTTGACTGCAGAGAAGGAACTTTGGAGGTCTTCGGAGAAGGTTTGAGACAACCTTCAGAGTGTCATTGAGATTATGTGGAAGGCGACAATAGATCTTTGAGACAGGTTGAAGGCATCTAGAGTGGCCTTTAATGAGAAATCGCGTCGCGTAGATGAGTTGACTGCAGATGTGGCGAAGAGAGATAAATCGCATGCAGTAGAATTAACGGCGAAGGCGAAGGAGTTGGCATGTTGTGAAGCTACTAGGTCTTTGAAGTTGGAGCCCAACTTCAAAGACCTAGCAGAGGGAGAAGTTGGATGCCGATTGCAACGAGATGCGATCTCAACTGTCAGTTGTTGAGATGCAATTGATTGCGGCGGAAGCTAAATTGTTGGAAGTGGAGGCAAAGAATCAGCCGTTAGCAAGTCAGACGGACGAGGCGTTGAGTGAGAAGGTAAACTGATGCCTTCGCGGTTATGTCGTGTGGCAGATTCAGACGCTCAAGTGGTTGAAGTTGCAAGAGTTCGATTGTCGCGTGACGAACTTGATAGCTTGTAGTGTAGATTGGCAATGTTAGTTAGCTAGGAAGTTAGATTCGTTCATATCTGGTTTGGACTAGACGAAGAAAAACTTAGCATTGGAAATTTTTGTCGCTCTGTGTAAGTTAAGAGTAGATAGGAACTCAGCGGGCGTGGCAACTGCCAAGTCAACTGGCGTCGCGCCTGTTGAGAGCTCGCATCATAGCGAGTACCATACTAGTGAGTTAGTTAGGAATAAAGAAGTCCAAGGCTTTGCCTTCGGATGTCATTTCTATTAGTTAGTTTCTCAGCTTTCAATCTGCATTCCTCCATACGTTTGTGAAATTGTGTGTTTGACACCGTACGCGAGTTGCTTCGATTTGTCAAAGATACTGCATTTGAAGTAGAGGGTCCCATTCGGATGTTCTGAGTAATGCATGGTGTAGCTCAAGATTTAAGTAAATCTGTAAATTGAAAGCTCGTGTAGCCGACTGAGTGTAAACCTTGGAAATTCCCCCCTGAATATCAAGTGCAAAGTCTTGAGCTACTCTTGTAGACTTTGATTGGACAATTTTCAGGTTTGAGTGTGATTCTACTTGCAATGCGATGACTTCGGCCGATGACTGTAGCCATTGCAATGTGTCGAAACACAGAAACTTACTTAACATCCGGGTAACACTCAAAACAAGCATAAACTTCCGTATTGTCTGCGTGGTTCCGAGTATTGTCCAAGGATTCAATAGTGCTTTGTCAAGTAGGTACTCACACTCAGTCCGACTCTTCTCACTGCTCGGATGGTATTTTCAGAACTAAACACTCTATCTCTTTTCTCTCCGTTACTTTGTGTTTTTGTCAAACCAACCCCAACGTATTAGGTAGAATACTACCTCACAACTAACTTAGAACACTCTAGTCAGCAGGTCACACAAGCAGCTGTATCCGATCCGTGAGACTACAACGACAAACCGATCCGGATCTGAGAGAACCAAGATCCGGTTATCCCTAGGCGATCCGTACCACTTTCCGAACCCCTGCTCATAGACTGCGGAACCTCTTCAAAAGTTCAAGGAGCCCGATCAAGTACCCCTCGATCCGCTTTGACCCTAGCGACGGCTATTCCGCGTGAGGTTTGGGTTGGGGACGGAACAGTGAGGCTTCAACTCCTACGACAACTCGCTCGATCTTTCCGCTTTATCTCAGCACCGTTCTGATCCAGGTACCGTCACAACTTCCGTCACCTTCCTATCTGAGCTACAGCAGAACTCTCAGCACCCTCTCGGATCATTCACACTTAGTTGGAAACCACGTTCCATGTATGCAAAACACGAATACTTTACCGATAAGGAATATAGGAAGGAATTATGCAAAACAAGGACTCGGCCTGCATCGCTTGCCCCATTTAAGTAAGTAGGGGTTTTCACAAAAGCGGCGGCGCCAAAAGGTGCAACAAAAACCCTAATTCCTAATCATCTACCTAGAATCCTACTTCACGGTTAATCCGGATCTTACCGGTCCGATACCTACTCCTATAAATCCGGAAAGTGACAGGTGCGAGGAATCTATCCCGTCTTTGTTTTCTTGTTACTCTCCTCCTCCTTTGATCGTGTCGTCCTCGGCTCGGATCCTCCTCCCTTCGTAGCACGTTCCGCCTATCGCCTTGCTTTTGCCTCGGCCTTCGTTTCCTTAGCTTTGACGTCCAACGACCGGGTAACGATCTTGGTCTTGGGGGACTTGATGGGGGTACCTCTCGGGGTAGGAGTGCCGGACGCCTTGCTTTCGCCTTGGCCTTCGTTTCCTTAGCTTTGATGTCCAACGACCGGGTAACGATCTTGGTCTTGGGGTACTTGATGGAGGTACCTCTCGGGGTAGAAGTGCCGGACGTCGGGGTACGGGTATCCGTTCCGATCGTCCCGGATGGGGAACTCGCATAAGAATCCGAGTCGGACTCGGAAAGTTCAATCGTGCCAGGCTTGATCGGACCCTTCCTCTTCCACAACTATCGCCGGGTTCCGGAGGAATTTTCCGGAGACTTCTCTACAGGCGTTCCGGCAGGGGTAGGTGTGACAGTGCCGGTCCGGGCCGTGGGTGAAGGGGTGAGAGTTCCGTCCTGAACTACTCGGGTACGCCCGGGTGGTGATATGTATCTTCTCCACTGACTTCCGGCTACCACCCCCTGGTGAATCGGAATTACGTCTCCGATCGTCGGAGCAACGACCGGCTGCACGGTCCGGGTGACCTCTTCCGTGACTGTCTGCTCCTCGGATCGCCTCATGGTGACCGTGGTCCCCGTAATCTTCGTCTGGCCAGCGGGGATCACGCAACTTTGCTGAGCGAAACTGGCTCCGGGAGAGGCCTCCTTGGCGATCACCCCAGCTATTAGATCCGCAATTGTCCGAGGTGGACCAAAAATATCCGGGTCCGGGAACACCTCCCGCTCATAGCTAGTTTGAGGCAACTGAACATGCTTTCGAGGGATTTTGAACCCTGCTCCACGAGATTCCCCCACCACTATCTGAGAGGGAGATCCGGGAAATCTCGGATCGACACTCGGACTTCTGGTATCCGGGCAGAGCAACCTCTTCATCAACTTCAGAATCTTGCCCATCGAGTACTCAAACTTGGACATGATCGTGATGATCCTCCCCTATCCTGTAGGTTAGCAGGGGCCATCGCGTTCTCATCAAACAACCGGGCCTTGTTGACTACATCGCCCGGAACTCCCACCAACTTCCCGATCTCATTCAAGATCTCCTCCTGCTCGGGCGTGGAACTTACGAATCTCCTCGCTCTTCGTAGCCAACTCTGAGGTAAGTTCCTTTATCTAGAGCTCCAGCCGCTGCTTCTCGGCCCGTAACTTGGGTGCATCCTTCAAAAGCTCGATCTTCCAAAAAAACCTCCTCCGACTCACAGCCTCCTAACGATGTGCAGACCCTCCGGAACAGCGACTCAATCCGCTCGTAAGTGGCCTGAGCGTGGTGGGTCCCTTCCCGAAGTGACCGGAATGGATTAGCTGGAAATCCCCGCTCGGAACTGGATCCCTTCCTCGCCGTGTCATCTCGGCCATGGAGGGTTCCGCGTAATGGAACGTAGCTCGTTCCGACCGCGACTTAGAGTGTGCCTTCGTTGGGGCAGCCTTCGGGAGCATCTGCACATCCGGTTTCCCCTCTTCCATGGACGCCGTATCGGTGCCTTCTTCGTGCTGCTACTCCTCAGCTCCTTCCGCTACCTCCTTAAAGTAGAGGAGATCCTTCGTCACCCCTTCGATCAGAGCGAGTGAGCCGAACTGCAGAAGCACATAAGGATCCTCATTACGACATTGCGGCCGATTTTTATGATCGCCAAGCTCATGTTACGTTTCGGCAACTGATAGAAGATAATAACTTCTATCGGAAGCTGATGACTTCTGCTTTGAAACGCGTAAAGCGGTCACGAACGCACAAGCTCTCTCGGGTGTACCAAGTCAGGATTGAGGACTTGGGACCACCAGAAATCGATATTGAGATTGGAGGATGTACCATCCGGAAGGTGCCCTTAGACTCAAGGTCGGGGATTAATATTATGACAGAGGATACGGCCACTGCCCTGGGGTACAAGACTTTTCAGCCCATCACGCGAATGATACGATTGGTTGATCAGACCCAAAGGAAACCCCTTGGTACTTTAAAAGACGTTCGAACCACCATTGGCGGGGTAGTGTTTCCGTTAAACTATGTCATTATTAAGCCTCTGACGGAGAGAGGATATAAAGTACTGATTGGTCGACCATGGTTTTACGGTGCTAAGGTCCGTTCAGATTGGCACAAGCGATGCTTACAATTTAAGGATCCTAATAATAAGGCGGGTCCCAAGGTCACCGTTCCATGGGACAAAATCCCACACGAAGGGGAGACAACGTCAACCAGCTCCGGCTACACTTCGGAGGAAGAGACTACCACCTCCAAGAGTGACATCGATGTACATTATATGGAGTTTTACGTAGTAGACAAAGAGGATGCAGAAGTAGGGGAACCAGAGGAAGCTGGACCCGAAGGTAGCGAATAGCAATTAGAAGTGGGGCTGGGACGTAGCGACATCAGTCACACGGAAGGCGTCATAGACCCGAGTGACTGTCAAGAGGTCGAACTCAGTCCCCACAAGTGTTTTAAAATCTCCAACTTGTTGAGAGGTGCCGAGTTAAAATTAGTTCAACGTTTTCTTCGTTTGTACGAAGATGTATTTGCATGGCGGATTGAAGATATCAGCTAGTTATGGCGAGCATCGTATCGACATGATGGATAACGTTGAACCTGTGCGCCAGTGACAGTACCGACTTAATCCGAAATACTTCCTTATGGTCAAAAATGAAATTGATAATTACTTGAGTGCAGGGATTATTTATCTAGTACTAAGCAGCGAATGGGTTTCACCCATTGTCATTGTCCCGAAGAAGTTGACAGGTAAGATCCGTGTCTGTCAGGACTTCAGGAAGCTAAACGCAGCTACGAAGAAGGATCATCATCCGCTACCCTTCACAGACGCCATTCTGGATCATGAGGCTGCACACGAAATGTATAGTTTTCTTGACAAATTCTCCGGCTATAATCAGGTGTTGATCCGAGAACAAAGATAAGACCACGTTTACCACCGATTGGAAAACTTATCCATATCATAAGATGCCATTCGGGTTGTGTAACGCACCGGCGACGTTCCAAAGTATGATGACCACAATCTTCCAGGACCACCTGCGGAAATTCCTAGAAATCTTCATTGACAATTTTTGTGTCTTCGGGCCACGTGACCAGCACTTAAATCACCTCCTGCAGACGTTTGACAAGTGCCGAGAAGCACAACTATCCTTACACCCCGAGAAGTGCTTTTTCTTCCTGTCAAGCGAAATCTTGTTGGGACATCGAGTGTACTCTGAAGGAATAGCTATAGATGCGCACAAGGTGAAAGTTATTGTAGCGTTGGATCCACCGACGAATCTTCGCGAACTTTGGGCCTTCCTTGGGCATGTAGGGTACTATAGAAGATTCATCCACATGTACGCAATTACCGTAGCGAGTCTCACTAAGCTGTTGAGGAAAGATCAGCCCTACGAATGGGAAGAGGAGCAGCAGAAGGCGTTCGAAGAGCTTAAAGAAAAACTTACCTTAGCTCTTGTCTTGCGTAGCCCTGATTGGAATAAACCATACCACGTCTTCGTGGACACTTCGGCTTTTGCCATAGGTGGGGTGTTAAGTCAAAGAAATGAACAAAGAAGAGATTATCCAATCTACTTTGCTAGTAGGCAGTTATCGGCAGCCGAGAAGAACTACACCACGACAAAGCGAGAGGCGTTGGGGATGGTGTTTTCCGTGAAGAAGTTCCGACACTATTTGCTTGGTTATGAATTCGTGTTTCACGTGGATCATTACGCTTTACATCATTTATTGAAGAAGGCCGACTTGTCGGGACGAATTGCAAGATGGCTGTTGCTCCTACAAGAATTCACTTTTACCGTCCAGACGCGGAAAGGAATCCATCAGGAGAATGCAGACTACTTGTCTTGGTTATGGACGCAACCGGAGGAATCAGAATTAGCTGATGATTTTCCAGATGAACAATTGAGGTATGCAGATCTCTATCGATACTTGTTGACCCTGCAATGTCCGGACGGACTAGACGTACCCTCTTCATCCATAAAGCTGGACCTTATCAGATACAACAATGCGTGCTCTTCAAACTCCTGCCCGATGAGCGACTATGTCGATGTTTGGAAGCTTCGGAGGTAGGACGAGTGGTTGCAGCAATGCACACAGAGGAAGCAGAAGGACATTACGCCACCCGGAATACAATAACGAAGATCTTGAATGCAGGTTACTGGTGGCCTACAATGTTCAAAGATGTATACGACTACATCCGGAAGTGTGATAGCCGCCAGAGAACGGGAAGACCGACCCCCATTACGCGGTGGCCGTTAGTGTCCATCATGCCATTGGCACCTTTCAAAAAATGGGGGATCAATTTTGTCGGAGCTATCCAACCAGCTACGAAGCACACCCGAAGACGATACATACTCGTAGCGACGGATTATGCCACCAAGATGAAGGAGGCGGAGGCCACACGAAAAGATGATGCGGCAAAGGTGTCGAAGTTTTTATTCGAGAACATCATCACACGATACGGATGCCCCCTATAGTTGGTAAGCGATAGAGGGACGCATTTCCTGAATGCGGTAATCGAGGACCTCACTTTCCATTTCCAAATCAAACATCGAAAGACTACTATGTACAATCCGAAAGCAAACGGACTCACTGAATAATCAAATGGGTTGCTCTGTAAGATCCTGTTGAAAGTGACGTTGAGCCATGCATACGACTGGGATACAAAGTTTCCAGCGGAACTTTGGGCTTATCTCACAGCAGAGAAGGTGACCACCAAGCAAACACTAAACTACCTAACATATGGTCAGCATCCCATTTTACCTATCGAGTTCGAATTGCCCACTCATCGGATACTAGATCGCAGAAGACTGGGGAATGAAGAAAGTCAGCTCTACAGGCTGCAAGAAGTGTTGGCATTGGAGGAACGCAGAGAAGCCACAAAGCAGCGAACGTAGCAGATCTAGCTAAAGAGGAAGGAGGCGTATGATAAGCGCGTTCGACCGGTAACTTTGCTTAAGGGAGATTTAGCTTTGTTGTATGATAGTAGACATGCGAGGTTCCCAAGGAAGTTGCACTTGCGATGGATGGGACCTTATAAAGTAGTAGATGTGTTTCCAAATGGATCAGTCCAGTTAGCAGACCTTTCAGGAGAACTACATGGGACCCGAGTGAACGGTTACCGAGTGAAGAAGTATTATACGTGACGTGTTCGCGGGGTCGCTCACAAATGGGGAGAGAAGTATGTGGTGCCTAGTTTTTTTGTTTTTCTTTAAAAATCAACAAAACTAAAAGATATTTGTTTAGAAAGTAGTTGTTAGAGTTAGAATGAGCAGCTCCTAAGGAGAAATGATAGAATTAGTTAGAATTCATCTACGTCCAAAGATCTTCGGATCTTCGTGTCTTCAGCGCAGCCTTTTATGGATGTACGAAGAGCTACGTCTTCGGCGAAGACATCGAAATCAATTTCAAATCACGCAATGGGCCGGACGATGTTCGCACGCGTCGGGAGTTCTACTGGGCGCGGGAGGAGGCATTGTTAGGGGTTCGAAGGTAAAGGCAGTACAAGGGGTGTCATGGCTCGAGACGTTAGTGTGGATTTGAGTGTAGACACGTTAGGACGCGGTACACGTTGGGACGCCCTGCACGTTGAGGTCGTCGACACCTTCCGTGGGTTATATTCGTGGCGAACTCGAAGAACTGTCAGTTCTTCGAGTTGAGCCTTACGCGTCGGGGTTTTTCCCCTTAGCTTCGACTTTTAGTCTACCTACGAGTAGTGAGTTTGGCTCGACTCGTTGTGTATGTGTTTCGACACTGATTTTACTCGAAGAACTGTGAAAGTAATTTGAAAGTAGTGAGCAGGTTCGGATTCAAATGCACATGTGCACGCGCTCCCGCTCGAACGAACAGGCTGCAGAGAGCTGGACCCGGTCCATTCATGGAGCAATGTCGCAATGTTCGGAGGGAGGGAGCCAGTGAGTGGCAGACAAGAATGGAGAACTGAATGAATGTGACGAAGTGGAGGGCGAGGAACGCCGACGATGTCTGTAGTGGCTATGTCGATCGAGCAGGAAGTACGTTGACGAACGACTGGCAGTTAGTTTCGCCGGGCTCTGTCGCGCATCATCGGTCCGAGGCCAGAAGAGAAGAGACGAGACGTGACGTGAAACGAGAAGGAATCGAGCAATGCGCTGATCTTTTCTTATGCGTTGTGATGTGACGCGAGTCTCCGGATCATTTTCCTTCAGTTCGGGCTGCTCGGCTTTTGCTATGGCTACAGTTGTTTGCAACTCATTTCTCAAAGGAAAGAATTTCACTAGGAGCCTCTTGATCTTTGCAGTCGAAGAAGCGCGGGCTGTCCCTGGAAGAGAAGCGAGAGCAGATGCTTCAAATCTTCTATGAGAGTCAGGGATTTTACCAGTTGAAGGATCTTGAAAAACTTGGGCCAAAGAAGGGTGTCATCAGCCAGTCAGTCAAGGATGTGGTTCAAAGCCTGGTAGATGACGATTTGGTTTTTTAAGGACAAGATTGGCACTTCTGTATACTTTTGGAGTCTCTCAAGTCGGGCAGGGAATCAGTTAAGGCAAGTGCGAATGAAGCTGGAAACCGAGTTGGAGGCAGCGAAAAAAAACGCCAAGCAGACTTGCAAACACAACGAGAGCTTGCGAAGAAGGGGAGAGAAGATTCTAGTGAGCGAGAGTCAGCGTTGAATGCTCTGAATGAGCTTCAGAAAAAGCACAAGGCTATCAAGGAAGAGCTTGATCTATATGCCCAAAACGATCCTGCTGTCTACGAAGAAATGAGCAGCGTAACTGAGGTGGCGCACAAAGCTGTTAACCGGTGGACAGAAAATATTTTTTCTCTCCAGCAGTGGTGTTCGAACACCTTTCCTGAAGCGAAGGAAATGCTAGAGCAAGCATATGCAAAGGTCGGAATAAAGGAGGATCTTGATTACTTGGATTGACGTCTACCTGCAGCACGAAATTGGTGTTCATTCTGCCAAGTCTCTTGTACATTATCTAGTCGAGCACATAGATCCAGAGGAGGCTCTTCGATCTCGTCAATTAAACCGAGGTAGCTCCAACGTAGGCCACTCCTACACGGCAGCTGGTGACGTTGTAATACTAAAACGTTTGTAAAGTAGATCTTTGTCTCAATCATAGATGTAAAGCTTTGACACTTCGCCACTTTCGAGCAATACCTGCGAGCATTTAGGTGGACAGTGATGTTTCTGCAAACTCAATGTCGAGTGAAGATGAATTGGCCTGTCGATGGCAGATGGTCCTCAGATCGTACGAATATTGTTCTAGACTTGAACAAACAGGGCCTTGTCGAATACAGATAACAAGAAGAAAGCACTAGATTTCACACACACACAAAAACAAAAACAAAAACAAAAACAAAAAAAGAAGAAGAAGAAGAAGAGAGGAAAATATTCTGAAGAGATCGAGAATTTGAACTCGTCTCACTTACTATGGTTTGTCGGTTGTAAAAATATTGCTTTATCTCTATTTTGTTTTTTGTTCTATGGCAAACAGTTAGGGTAGATAGGCTTTTCATATTTGTTATATTTGACGCCTCTATTTGTAGTGTGAAGTGGAGGTATGAGGTGAAGTACGGGATAGCTCGGCGTGGAGTTCATTATTTTTTTGCGACGAGATGAACGGGATGGCGTTGCAGGCGCTGGAGACGGAGGATGATAGGAGGCGATGGAGTTCGACTCGGGGTCGCGATGCGAGGCGATGTCCCGTGTGTTGTGTTGTTCTGTGCTGTGTTTCATTTCGGCTGGAGAGTCGTTGCTAGCTGTTTGCTTGTGTTTGGATCCTCTCCAGTCTGGCTTCTTGATGCGCGCCCATGTCTGGGTTGACGTTGATTTCCGGAGTAGTTTTACTCCAGTGTGCTGTCGATAGTGCGGCTGGATTTGATCACCGGCGCCTATCTTTGTTTCTCTCATGGTGAGACTGGAGTGATGACCAGTGGACCAGGAGAGTCTTCTTGCGGTGATGACAGGTTAGGTTGCACATACCCATAGTCAGTAGGGCTAGAGCAGGTTAGTGCAGGGACGAGGGCAGGTGGAGTTGTGGCAGTGGTGCCGATTAGTGAGTCAGTCATCACGGAGGAGTTTGGGGGTTCCGTTGAGGACCTTGGAGGATTTACGCGGAGTGGGTTGAGGTATCGGCTACCTCATCCTAGCGCATCAGTGGTTGTAGAGGCACGGAGTGTGGCAGAAAGCGGATCTTTGGGGGTGATATCGTCTAGGGTCCCACACTTGTGGACTGAGGACATGGACGGTATGTACGGGGCCATGAAGGGCCCACGGCGGTACTCTGGTGCAGTGGGCACCATTGAGTTGGATGATTTCATCCAGGAGTTTGACACGTGGTGCGATATGCAGTTCTTGCGTAACCCCACGTTGTTTACACCCTTCTTTGCATGGAAAGGGTTGTTTCAGCATCTGGAGGGGCCTCCCATGGATGACTACCATGAGTTTGGGAGAGAGTATGCTGTGGAGATTGACGCATGGAGACGTCATTGGTCTCCAAACTATACGTCGATCACCCAGGGTGGTGTTGGTACCAGTGGAGGGGCGAGTGGTAGCATCACCGATGGTACTAGTGGAGCAGGTACCACCAGCGGTGCCGTTGGCGTTGCCAGCACGAGTGGAGAGACTACTGGCGTACCTTCGTTCAGCCCCATTCCTGAGTTCTTCAAGAGGTTGAGGAAGAACTATCAGGGGGTGAGGACGGAGAAGTTGAGGAGTCTCCAGGAGTTTGAGCGGAAGACTGGTGAGAGTCTTCGAGAGGCATACACGCGTATGCGGAGGTTGATCTCAGTTACTCACGGTGTAACTGAGGCACAGGCGGTCCAGTATTGGTACAGGATACTGGACAGAGAGCTACGGCAGAGGGTTCGGGATGCTACCCTTTTGAGCGATGCGTCACCGACATTGGCCTATGTGTTTGCTCTTTCTGAGAAGATTGAGCTTAACATAGTGGAGGAGAGAATGGTGACTTCTTCATTCGCTAGAGACGCAGCCACTACCTCTCGTGTCCCGCAGAGCACGGCACAGTCTAGACCCTTTGGTGGTGGTAGTGGTGGGGGTCGCGGAGTGCAGACACGACATCAGACAGCCGCTAGGGATACAGGGGCACGTGCACTAGTGCCGTCGTTTGCTGGCCAGCAGCAGGGACCAGCATGTTGGACATGTGGAGGGGATCATCGGCGAAGAGATTGTCCCCAGGAGGCCGGAGGTCAGAGTTCACAGGCTAGACCCCAGTCAGCACAGGTGGTGTGTGACCACTGTGGTCGAGCAGGTCATACTCGAGATCGGTGTTTTGACCTTCATCCAGAGTTGACATCTGGTGGTAGAGGTCGTGGTGGTGCTGCTTCTCGAGGTCGAGGTGGCCGTGCTGGTAGAGGTGGTCGAGGTGCCGGTGTAGTTGGACGTCCTGTAGCGAGTGCTACTTCGGCCACAGAGAGCGCGATGGCTGCTCGTATTGAGCAGTTGGAGCAGAGGCTTGCTGCTATGGTGAGTTCTGGGGCGAGCACTTCCACCTCTTACGAGGAAGAGGATTTCCCTTATCTAGCGAGTGCAGCACAGGTGGAGGCATTGGTTGCAGTGACTAGAGGTGCAGCTCGAGCTCTAGAGCCACGCGGGGCGACAGGGGAGTTGGATCCTCAGAGGGGTGAGGGTGGGCGTCAGGCCAGACTTCCCCAGTCGTTTTTGCTGTCAGAGGTGGGCAGTACTTCATCCATGAGACCTGTACCACCTAGTGGCCTTAGTGGGAGGACTGAGACATCTACGTCACGTGTGGTGGATACAGACACACCATCTAGTGCAGTGACGCGGATGGCTAGCTCAGTGATGAGATCTCCATTATTTTCAGCTATGGAGCTGATGGACTCTTGGATTGACTTGGCTCGAGTTTTTCGTGCAGCAGCCACGTTGTGTGAACGTGGGAGTATCCCTGCTACGAGTGCCGACATAGGCGAGACTATTGGTGAGGAGCTATCCTTTACGACTCCATCGAGCGATGAGTCGACATGGCAGGCGGCAGCGGCACGGATGGAGTCCTTGCCAGCCCGACCAGCCATTGATCGGGAGAGGGTTGTCCCTGGTGTGTGTATGGTGGACAACCGGAGCGGTGTATTTCGCTTGGTGAGTGCTACAGGGCAGGTGTATGTCCCAGCCAGAGTGTTGCTGGATTCTGGTGCACAGCCTTTGATGTTGGGCAAGATTGCCTGCATTAGTTTGGGAGTTCGGAGGTCCGAGTTGGAGCCTTGTCCATTCCAGATTCAGACATCACTCGGTGGCACCAGCGACAGGTCTTACAGGATGACCAGAGAGCGCATATCAGTGCAGTTGAGGCATGGTCATGCTCAGGATAGCTCGCAGTTTGGAGTTCGAGCGGTGGTTACATCAGCAGAGTCATATGATGTGCTTGTTGGTGGAGCGGTGTTATATCCGATGGGATTTCGGATGGATTATTGGACGGAGACGGCAGCTTATCGTCCTGGTTGGGAGTCCGGTGATGGACGTATGAGTGAACTGCCTGTGAGGTTCATTTCTCGAGATCGACCTCTTGGATCTTCTCCTGCAGTTTTAGCCTCTATTGCGGGTTTCAGTGGAGTGCTCACATGGCGTGATGACTTGTTGGAGGGGAACAGGTCAGCCGAGGATACTCCAGTCTATGAGGAGGTGGAGGAGATGGTGAGTCTCGCAGCGGCAGTGTCATCATCTTTGGATGTTCCACTTTGGGATTCTTGCCACGCATTACAGCAGGAGGCTGATAGGTTGGTGAAGAAGGCTTGGAGTGAGGCCTCTTTACCAGCAGAGGCAGAGCGAGTCTCAGGTGGTCGGCTAGTATGTGGTCTTAGCACCCTATCACCATTAGTTACTACACCTATCGTATGGGAGTATTCCCCAGAGGGTGTTTGTTTGCTGGATCTTTTTGGAGGGATCAGCACGGGTTTGGCTGCAGTGTTGCAATCAGGTATTCTTGTACGTAGATACTTGTACGTGGAGAAGGACGAGACTGCACGTCGGGTTTCTTCACGACATGTTACACAGTTGATGCAGCGTTTTCCTTTGTTGTTGCCGCGATCAGCTGTTCGAGGATATCAGAAGGCGTTGCCTGCAGACATTTCATTGCTAGGGGCGCCAGACCTCGATCGAGTTGGACATATTGATTTGGTGATTGCGGGATGGCCATGTCAGGGGCACACACGCGCTGGGCATGGAGCAGGGTTACATGACCCGAGATCTCGGATGTTTTGGGAGATGCTACGAGTGTTACGTCATCTCCAAGAGCAGCAGACACGTTCTCCCGCATACATTCTAGAGAACGTACCCTTGTTGGGTGACACTCGGGCCCAGTTGATGGCGAGTGTCCATGAGGTCAGGGCATGGATTGGATCAGCAGTGTTGTTGGATGCTGCGAGGGTTGGTTCACGTGCTCATCGTGCACGTTTGTGGTGGACCAACCTGGTACCACGAGAGATATTGCGTCATGCGTATGATTTTGTGCATCGTGATCCTACCCTCACCGTTGACACGATCTTAGATGTCTCTCGATACTCTCAGGTGGTGAGAGTGGCGGATAGGTCACCCATGGCATTGGTGAACCACGTAGGTCAGCCTCGGATGGCTTTGCCTACGTTGGTCAGTTATCCGGCATCACATGCATATCGTGATGGGGGACCTGGACTACTGTGGGACAGTACCCTACATCAGTTGGTGGAGCCCAACGCTGATGAGAGAGAGCGTGCGATGGGGTTTCTTACTAGTGTGACCGCGGCTTCTTTAGTTTCAGAGGCATCGCGTCGTCAGGTTTTGGGTCAGGCTATGGACCTGAACTGCTTGACATGGATTGTGAGCTTGGGTTTGGCCGAGCAACGCCGTTTGCGCGCAGATTTGGTGGTTGTTACACCGCTTATTAGCTCATTGCCTACCGGGACGGTAGTTGCAATGGCTGGGGGCGACCTGCGAAATATTCGTCATCCTTGGAGTTCATGGGACGTGACGAGAGGACTTGCGAGAGTAGACGCCCATGCAGTTGGAGATGTTGGTCACGGGGAGGTTGCTACGAAGGAGGGTACAGAGAACTCTCCTTTGGAGGAGATGTCATAGCAACCAGTGACAGTATCGCCTCCCTCTTGTGGCTCCATGGAGGAGGAGTGGGAGCCATCGATTGGCTCTCAGATCACCGGAGGAGAAAGACGACGGTTGATACAATTCCTACATGACTATAGGAGTTGTTTTGCCTTCAGTATGAAGGAGTTGGGTACTTTGATTGGACCTGGCATACGGATAGAGTTGGCTA